AGCTCTCCACACAGAGTCAAACGCAGCCGAATAATCTACGAATCCACAATAAAGTTTTTGCTTCTTAGTCAAAAGAATATCAATCAAGCATTTCAAAACAAAGATGTGATCAGTTGTGGAATGAAACTTCCGAAATCCACACTGATTGATATTTTACAATTCCATTGAATTTACGAAGTCAGTCAGTCTTACATTCAACACATGAGTGAATAATTTAGCACAACAGCTTAACAATGTTATACCTCTATAATTTTTGGGATCGTTCAGATTACCCTTTTTCTTGAAAATCGGTTTAATAATTCCTTTCAACCAGTCACTAGGCATAACTCCACAGGTTAACACTTTATTAAACAATTTCACCCATATGTCAATCAATAATGATTTGCTGTACTTAATATACTCATTTAATATATTATCCATACCTGAAGACTTGCCATTCTTTAAGGATTTGATAGCTGAATAAATTTCATCAGCTGTGATGTCACAATTAAGAAGTTTAATATTCAAGTCATAAGCAAAGCCTGTCTCATACTGAGAAGGCATGTCTTCTGGTATCTCATGTGATGCATCAGATGAGTACAAGTTTGCAAAATGGTCCCTTAAGAGATCAAGGTTGACTTCATTGAATTCTTTTTTTGACTTTGGATTTAAAATTTTCCAATACCTTTTACTATCATTCTTTTTGAGATTCAATAATTTTTTGTTAAATTGCCTCTTGTACTCTTTCTTGCGTTGCTTTTTGTATTGTTTGTTTTTACGTACCATGTCTTGCTTATCTAGTTCACTTTTAGTCCTAAGATACCTATTTTTAGCATTATTATATGATCTCCTTTTTAGATGACATGTTTTATCAAACCATTTATTAACATTTTTACCATTTTTAAAAACGTCTTGTTTACATGTTTTACAGAAACCTTAATATACACTCCCCTCCATAAGTTTGGCAACCTTTGCTCCTCCATTGAACTACGTGTTAAAGCCTCTTTACGTTTGAATTTTTATTTACTTAACCTGCTATGAAATAACTTATGATATTGACGGAAAAGTAACTTGAGTTTATTTCCAATACCTCCAAATGTTCCCAATTGTTTTCCTCAATTACAATAGGTCGAAAATTTTTCAAATTTGATGAATTTTTGAAAATCGTCACATTTGTCGTACGGAGACCGTGCGTCGACCGCAGATCAATTAAATCAGTGTGCGGCCTCCGTGTAGAAATCAACTGGCTCAACAAGATTGAATCATTATTTGTCAATGTTTCACGATCACTTTTCATTTGATATTACATCCTAGCACTATGAATAACATTTATAAATTGTCCCGATGTAAATAAAATGAAAAAAAAGTATTATTTATCAACAGAAATTTAAAATTCACCGTGCGGCTGCCCCGGGAAATGTGACTGCAAAAGTATAAGAGCGCAGAAATTCCACGGCGAGCGTAGAAATGTTACTGGCCGCAGAAATGATAGACCGCAAGGTCGCCGTAGGAAATGTGACTGGGGTGTAAGGTTGCCAAGCTTATGAAGGGGAGTGTAATTAATTGTTTTTTCACTGCGCTGTCACTATATAATTAGTGACAAGTATTAATTTAGAATTCCTGACTTGGTGAAGTGTCTGTTAATGACCCCCTGTTTTCTTATTTTATTATTTATATCTGAGGGTAGCTCGACCTCAGAGTTGTTTTTCAAAGTTGGTTTATGTTCAATTACGAATCATATCTCAGTCATAAAGTGCTATAAAACGTCTACCCTAAGAATGATAATAAAACCATTTAACAGGTTGGACGTGATGTTTTCTTTACCATGTTAATAAACCAAAAATTAAAGGGCTGATAAGATAAAAGGATTTCTGTGTCTACTTGGTGTTCATGTGTCGTAAAACGGATGGACACGATTAGACCGCAAATCAACAAGGATAGGATATGTAAAGGTTTTACCCGTCCAAAAGCTAGCTCGTGAATACTCTGAAATGATCAAGTTTCAAAATCAAATAATTAAGATAAGGTCTCGGATTTCTCTTTTATGGTACAGAATTTCGAACGTCATTCTCATCCGAAGGATTCGATTACTACGTTATCCTGCCATTGATTGCAAAAGGAACTTCCCTCTTGTCTTTTATACAAGAGCTCTATTAAATTCAATTATCCCATCGGTTAAGCTAATAGATATTTCTAATTCAACAAGACTTTGTCTTCAAAATATAATAAAAAGAAGGAAATTCGAGGCTGCGTTGACTAACAAAATATAGAATATCATATTACAGACTATCACGAACATGATTTATTCATTATTTTTTCGAGAGAAAATACTTAATGAAGAAATAGAGACGTGCTACAGTTGAGTTGCTTTTGTCACTTCATGTCATACCTCTCATTTACAGCCGCCTCTTTTTAAATCAATAGTGGAAATTCGTGAAATGTATTTTATCCGATGGTAACACAGCTTGTTCAGAAATATATAAAGGACCAATTTTTCATTTTAGAGGGATACGGTTACGTCTGTTAATGTGTTTTCGTCCTGATCACTAATTACTGAACAAAGCTAAGAGGAAGGATATTCCAAGTTACATACTAATATCAATTGTGGAAGGTTTTTGCGACAACATAATTCGTATAGACATTTTGATTAAGTCGCCATAAAGATATTGTAAAACAGTTTGATAAATATCTAGATATAATGATCACTCCATATATATCAGAATAACAAAATGTCCCAACTCTCATGTTTGTGAAACCGAGAAATCAAGTTTTGAAAGTTTAGACATTTGTAACTTCAATGGTATGTCTATTTCACAAATTTCTTTATTCATTTTTACAAAAATAAATTCAAATCTTAGTCTACAATTGCAATACAATTATTCTTATAAACAATGTGATTGGTTAAGATGGTCCATAGAAACAAAGTTAAATTATTTTTGAAATTTGAATGGAGTTAGTACAATATGACACTGACAGCAGATTGTTGAAAGGAGATAGAGGTAAGACAATATCACAGGAAGAAAGGGTATGCTTTAAATAGTGGACATCTGTGAATATCTCAATTTGTTCAAAAATGGCACTTGGAACATTATTATTCTGATCGGGTGATATGCTAACTATTGCTTGACAGATCGTAAAATAAGATCTGACCCGATTTTTCGTTTCAATGACACTTTCTATTTCTTTGAAATGCCTCCATTGAGATAATTTAAACGCCTTAATATTTTTACAGGATATTGATCATAATTCCCGAAAAATGCCAAAACACATATCGCTGAATTAAAAGTATTAATCGGATTTACCAACTTGTCGACAGAATTGTCAACTTGGCGACAAGAAACGTTTTACACCCCAGTCACATTTCCTACGGCGACCTTGCGGTCTATCATTTCTGCGGCCAGTAGCTTTTCTACGCTCGCCGCAGAATTTCTGCGCTCTCATACTTTTGCAGTCACATTTCCCACGGCAGCCGCACGGTGAATTTTAAATTTCTGTTGATAAATAATACTTTTTTCATTTTATTTACATCGGGACAATTTATAAATGTTATTCATAGTGCTAGGATGTAATATCAAATGAAAAGTGATCGTGAAACATTGACAAATAATGATTCAATCTTGTTGAGCCAGTTGATTTCTACGGGGACCTCAGAAATGAACAAATATTATAACTCCGAGTTATAATTTCTACGCCTTCCCTGCGGCCTGTAAAAATCTGCATTCGCCGTACGGAGGCCGCAAGGCGAGCGTAGTTTTTCTACGCTCGCCGCAGAAATTCACCGATTTAATTGTTCTGCGGTCGACTTGCGGCCGCCGTGCGACAAATGTGACTGGGGTGTTAACTAACGTAATTTTGATTTATTTCTCTGAACACCTAATGTCGTTTTTGATAGAATTGTCAAACACTGGAAATAATTACAATGTCATCTTAAACACCTTTGAGTGTAATTCTAATGACAGCTCTCTATTTTTCATCTCTATGTAAATACATCCCGGATCATATGGAATAAGTCTTGATGATATAAAAAAAACAGGATGTTCTAATGAACTTTCGTATCTGATCGTACTCAAATGTGTGTCCCGTTCATTGTTGGACTATTGATTTAGGTTCTTGTCATATTTACAGTCAAATATACAGCCAGAAATGCCTCCTTGGAGAAGCCCTATGGTATTTATTGTGCACCGACATACACTACACTCAATCAAACCCCCTGAATTACATAATACACAAACAACGTTTTGCCCGATCCGGGACTTGAATCCAGGGCCAAGTGATAGTGTTGAGCTTAATGCCTCTGTCAATTACCCATTGTGGGTGGATTGATAGCCTCTACAAAAACATTTAGACTACGCACGTGGACTTGTGATTGCACAATTGAATAAGCACTCGAAGTAAACATGAGCTTATGTTAATTTTGTAAAACGCATTGATAATGGCCTGTTAAAGTCATTTAAAGCCATTGTTTGCATTCGAATTCTGTTTTTCCTTTTTTCAATGGCACGCTGTTCTTGTACTTGACCGTTTTCCTTCAAACTGTTCCATTCAAAGCATAACAAAAATGCCTTTCTGTTGGTACACTATTTCACTTGGTACACTTTCAGCGGCATTTTGGGTCCCAAGTTGTGAGTTGATACAGCTGGAGACCAAAACGCTGCTAATATGAGGAATTTTGAAACTTCTCAAAACTTATAAGCTTAACACATTGTCTAACGTTGTGAGTGGCGTATTTCAGTAATACCTAGCTTGTCACGTTTGATCTACGACCAATGTACGGCGGCCGTAGCTTCCAAAATCTAGACAAAGCTGCAGCATAAAATATATTTAGGGATATAGCAGTGCGATGTCAATTTTGTGAAGCTACGGCCGCCGTATGCCCACCGAAGAGCAAATGTGACTGAGACTTTACGGCGACATCAATTTGTGTTTAAATACGTCTTACGTCTTACTTAGTTTGATTCCAGCTAATTCAATTATTCTATGTAATTCAATCATTGTTACTTATTGTCTTATTCGCATTACAGTTCTAGTGCTCGTCTCAAGCACTCTGACGTTAACCTTAATCGCCTGTGACAGATTCTTCGGAGTGATGTTTGCCATGCGGGCTCACATGACCGAACGACGGGCCAGTTTCTTCATACTAGCAGTGTGGTTGTCATCGTTCGCCATAGCGACACCTTTACTTGTATATCGGGAACAGTTGGACAGACAATGGAAAGACCATCATGAAATATGGTGCAACGATGCGCATGCGTGGCCTAAAAGTGCTAGGGTGGGTAAATTAAAATAAACGGATGAGACTGATGTTTTGTCAATGGTTTGAACATGACGTCAGAACACTTTTTTTAATGGAAAAAGGTTGCACGTAAATGTGTACAAATATGGTCATTTGGGGATTTGTTATCCCCTGTATAGTAAGTATGTGTTCACCTGATTGAGTATAAAGGTATATAACAAGGGAAACGTTAACGTTGTAATTAGGTCTTGGGAGAAAAGCAATTGAGCGGGTACAGTAATCCACCTAAGCTTAACCCCCCTACTAATCATTCAACTTCGCCTTCTCTAATTGTGTAAAGTTAAAGAAAGAAAAGTGACTGTCAGATGCCATCGCGGCTTGTATTTTGTTTAATTCGCATGCGATAAAAATTTCAAAGGGGCAATGCAATCCATTGACAATATTCCGAAAAGAACTTACTTTTAATTGATTATTCATTACATTTCTTTCATTAGATTGTTTAATTGCTATACCCAGTTACAATCTTTCAGTTAAACATTATATCAAATACAATCTAGAAAAGGTAAAATGAGATATTGCACCTTATTTCCTAATTTAGTTGAAATGATTTATTTCCCTAGTAAAAATCAAGATTGATGACAGAGTCAACAAAACACTAAATCTTTTTTCAGATGATATACTATTGCGTTGTTACTCTGCTTCTCTTCTTTCTCCCATTGGGGATAATGGGTGTTGGTTATTCGCTCATAATCTGGCGTCTCCGTTCAACGCATGTGCCAGGAGAACACGTTTCTGACCGTAATTACCAACATAAAGTCAAAAAGAGGGTAAGTAATGGACCAGTCTAAAGTAGACACTCCCCTCAAAAATATTGCAATCTTAACTCCTCGTTTTAGACCAAGTAAAAGCCTATTTTACATTTGTAGATTTTAACAATATATTAGTTTAAAAAAATCTCCATGAAATTGTAACTGGGGAACAAATTAAGATTTAAATAGAAGGTGATTTGATCATTCGGAATGCAATCCAATTGGAAATTAATGTTACCAAACTTTTGAAAGGGAGTGTCTATTCATAGTTAGTGTGTGTAGTGGTGTTGCTTATTCCAATCACTGTCTCTGTATTCCAATAGGTTAATAAAAACAAAGATGAATGAAGAGCTGATGTGAAAAATTAAAAAAAGACTAGTCTCGGTTTAAAGAACGAAGTTCATCAGTCTACTGCACGTTGCGCCTGCTGTAGATAATTTTACATATTGTAGATTTAAATGTCCTCTTTTATATATTCATAATTTAATTTGATGATATTTCTTTATTTTTCATAAAAATTATTAGCCCAGGAGACTGTTCTCCAATCCGAGACTTGTCATTTTCAATTATTTTATCTTAAGATTCAACAGATTAAATTTGACTCCAAGGTAATTGAACTATGATTTGGGTACTTTTAGATAAAGCGTTTGACATTTTTAATGTCCAAAGATATAGATACAAATATCGTCTTATGAGTATTGCTGCGAATTATTTCCTTCCAATAATCTCTGATGTTGTAGAACAGGAAGTGAATCGAAAGAACCATTTTAAAAGTATGGAAATATTGGAACTAAATACGCGCATAACACAGCAAAAAGAGTCATGAGAAATCACGGTCTTCTTGCTCCTTTTTAGTGTGTTTCATATTTATCGTTGAAAAACAGAGAATGTGATGCGTATCAGAATGGTTAAAATGTCCTGAGGAACACTTTTAGAAAAGAGAGCATTTTAGATGAGAAAACAAGTCTCTAACATCACAACGGGCATCACGAACAATAATCTAACGTATGAAGAATAAATCTGAAACGTCCTCCCCCACATAGCATTCGAAGGAACAAATGTCACAATCGTGAGATTAAACCGATCTATTACGACAAATGAAGTTTATCTGGTGACAGTCTGGCAAAGTAATATTTCCGATTCATTGATACCTTACCACGCTTTGATGTTCCAATATACCAGACGCGAGTAAAAGTAATCTTGATTTACTTTTTTGAATCTTCAAAATTTAGTAATGGAGAAGTAAGTTTTTCTACAATTCCTGTTCCTCTGAACGATCCTGTCGTGTTAAATTTTCATTGTATGATATTAAATGTTATAATAAAGGAATATCATATTTGAAGTCTACATATAAAATTGCATCTAGAAATGTGTTTTAAAAAGCATTTACCGACTTTGAAAATGTAATCTTCTTTGAAAATGTGAGTTCTAGGTCGTGGAGATTCCCCATAGACCCATGTTACAAAATCACAAAAGGTGAAATATCTTTTCTTGTGTTCGGCAGATACTATTTTCTTCTTTCCTTTTTTCTTTTTTTTATTTATTATTTTTATTTCAAGTTCATATATTATAACATTTAATATCATACAATGAAAATTTAACACGACAGGATCGTTCAGAGGAACAGGAATTGTAGAAAAACTAACTTCTCCATTACCTGGAAACTTACAAATACGTCCTGGCTTTATAGACACAAAATGTGGAAGATCTTGTATAACAGTGACACAATACTCCTTGCGGAAATCGTATCCGATGCAACAATCACGAAGTCTTTGCCTTTAATTCCTATTAAACATTCCATTTTTGAATAATTTAGCAAAACCTGTGAAAAAGTGACAAAGCTGAAAAATTTGTCTGTTCGTCTTCATGTAAAAAGTGGTACGGACAGACAAATTTTCAGCTTTGTCACTTTTTCACAGGTTTTGCTAAATTATTCAAAAATGGAACTGTAAATAGGGTATTTAACTGTTCATTTTTAAGCATCAATTGCTCTCATTTATTATGCAATATTGTATGCTCCCTAATAATTTGGCGTACTTCGTATTTCGTAAGACGTCTTGAAAATGGTGGTGTAAACTCAACATGATTTTTCTAAAACGTTTCAGCTAAGACGTCTTGAAATGTCGCGTGGCTATTCAGATCAGACACATAATATGGATACACATACGTGCGATATTAATGATTATAACATTGCTGTTTTAAGTTGTGTTATTACTGATTATAACATTGCTGTTTCAGGTTGTGCTGATGCTAATCATAATATTAGTGCTTTTTGCTGTTTGCTGGGGTCCAATTCAAGGATATATTCTCTTCGCTGAGTTCCGAATGCAACATCAGCGGCCGGTAAGGCATCACAATTGTTTTCACAAATGTACATTATATCCCTTCATCATGTATAGTTGTCAACGTTGATACGATATCAGAACAATCTTAGCAATGATGACTCCATTGTCGTCGCCATGACACTGGATTTTAGCTACTTGAAAAGTCTTTGTTGTTTTTTCAAAATATCTATTGATAAAAAACAAATACCATATTTATTAGTGAGTAGGATACTCTTCCCTACCCTATGAAATGGGCGGAATTATTTCCTCTGGTCTAAAATTTAATCAGTATGTTCTATGTTCACCTTCTCTAAACAAAGAAATCATAAAATGTTATGTTTTAGCTACCAAGTTGGTCGGAACAATTCCACTTTTACGCCAGTGCTTTGGCTTTTTCCAACAGTGCCGTTAACCCGTTCATCTACGCTGGATTCAACGATAATTTCAGAAAAGGTAATAATGATACTTTGGGTATCTCAATGTACAGGTTTTATTTTCAACCATTCACCAAAAGGGTAATAAAATATTCATTTTTTATTTTACTAGTGGCATGCGTGTCTGTGTCTGTAAAATCCTCTTTTGCCTGAAAAAACTCTGATGCATTTTTGGGGGGAAACGCTATAGAAATCCCGATCCTTGCTCCTATGTTATCCAATCCAGAACCTTTATCTTCTATCAGATAAAGTGTAGACTGAACGAAACAGTTATAATCCCCGGGGATTTAAGTAGCCTTTTTGAGATTGGATCACCAAATCTGTATTGTCTAAAACCGCAATAGAAATCGAGATTATATTATTTGATCGTAAAAGAAGACTTGATGAGGCCCAAGGTGTTTGTTTGAACCGTTTTGAATTGATAGTTGTTATTCCAGTATATGTTTACAAATACCATAGAATAAAACATCATGCAAGCTTAAAGTGAAAGTCATATCTGGCGGGATATCTGGGTAAGACCATCTTTGTCTAACAGTTACAGTTAATTGTATAATACCGCTCTTTGAAGCCATTTAACCGCCAAAACAATTATTTAAATTAAGAGTTGGTGTCACTTTGAATCTCTGAAATGGTACTCTTGATTGCTAATTCCCCAGACAGTATTTAAATCTAGGCACCATTCATAAGGTTTTTAAGGGTTTTTCTCCAGAAATTACAAAATAATCACTTCCTTTTACCCAAATATAAATGTGCCGTATAGATTGGAACGCATTGGTTTTCAATTTATACCACGCAGTTTCGAATATGCATTCCTTGGAACCGCGCGGTTCCAATTTTATTCTCTTCATCAGCGGCGACCCGTACCCCAAAGCCAAATGTAATAATGTATTGTATTTTATTCTTGTATTAAAATAAATAAACTATGTCTACCAACGTTCGTCTTCTTTGATATAAATTAAATTCGAACGGATAACAATAGTGATATCGCGGCGCAAATATCAAGTACAGCCATTCAATTTGGTAGCAGCTAATAAATAATACACAAGACAATATAATCTAGAATTTAAGCTTAGCTGTAAACAGGAAGTAGATTCAAGAAGGACATAAAGGTTTTTGTTTTTTACGACAAAAGCGTTTTTATCAATTTTTGGAACAAAATATATCTATTACATACAGGGCGTGCCAAAAATTCTTGCAACTTTTTTAGAAGGCTGAAAAGTATAATAACATTATAGTATCGACACAAACCTTTTTTTACAGAAACTTAAGGTAGGCATTCAAATACTTATTAAAGCTAAAACTGACTTCAATTTTTTGGTCAGAAATTCGAATATAAATGCTAAATTATTCATGTGCCCGAGATTTACCGATTTTTCTAGAAAATGGGATTTTCTATGATTTTATATTATCATCAATAGCACATTTAGTATGTTCACTAAATCTGCAACACCCCTTGATTCATTAGTCCTGATGGATAGCTGCACAATACACCACTTAACTTAAAGATTGTTGCAGATTTAGTACCTCGCCCGGATTGGAGTCAATTAGATTTACTTGGGATAGCTATGGCCTAGTATAAGTTAATAGGTATATATAAACAGCCCCCCCCCCCCCCCCCCTACGATGAGTGTGTGATGAGCACCGTGTGTGACCAACGGAACGTCAGTTATCTCAGAATACAGGTGTATTTTCATAAGGAAAATTTTTATTTTGTCAAATCATGTATAGCTCAATGAATTACATAGAATATTTTAACACGTAGCAAGAATGACCACCTGGTCATGCAACATCGACCTTGGGGAAGATGTATGCGGTTCCAAGTATTTCATAGCTTATGTTCATATTTGTGTATTATACCTACTCTTATCAATTCTCAGATCTTACGTATAATGTTATTGGTGTTTATTAGAGTTCTATTTTGTCTATTGTTTAAATTTTGATACGCATCCAATAATACTGTAATATATAATTATTATATTATCTCCAATCAATGGAGGGAAAATAAATCTAATAATAATAATAATAACAGTATAAGCTTAGCATTTGAATGGTAAAATATGCCTATGCTTAAGTTTCTGTAAAAAAAATTATGTCAATACCATAATGTTATGATACTTTTCTAGCCAGCTCCTAACAAAGGTGCAAAAAAATTTGGCATACCCTGTATATGTGTACAACTACATGTATATTAGCCATATATTTTAGAAATCTAAAAAGATCATATCAGATCTTGTAAAAAAGAAAATTTCACTTCATGTTTTTTTTTGTCCTTTTTGCATGTGAAACCAGTCCAAGGAGGATTAGCTCCCAGAGTGCAGCATCGATATTTCGCCATATATAGGCATGTCGTGATTACAAAATTCAAATCCAAGGAGCCTTTATGATCATTTTGTTCACTTCAACATTTAAATCGTGAACTCTGGTCTTATTTCAAAACGAAAAATTCCAAAACTTACAAAAGATGATCGAGATATTGGTTTGACTCTTTTGGACTGTTTATTTTGAATTTATAGTCGGTAATAATTTCAGAAAATAACGACATTTTGACGATTTCATTGTTGGAAAATATAAAGTTGCGATCGCGTAATCCTTCCGGAATCAAGTCCACAGAATCATGGATAGTCTGCAAATAGACCTATTTGTTTTAATAAATGAATTCACAATCGTGAATCGTGTAGCAATGTTTGTTATAACTGTAGTTTGCCAATTTCAAGATAGGGCTTCCACCCAAAAATCACCAAATCTGTCATCTGATTGTATAACGTTTTAGATTCCTAGTTTATCTACTTTTTACTCTTTCAGGATTTAAAGAAGTTTTCAATCTGCGCATCATCCGCAGACGGTACAGTGCGTTCGAACTAAGGACAGAGTCCATCTACCAGAGTTCTAGTATCTCCAGACACTCCGCGCGGACCTGTGAGACGACAAATGGTGTCGCAGGAAGCAGGGCGTCTTCCCGTCGGTCGGGATCGCGTTCCCAATGACTACCAGTAAATAGTGCCATACATTATATGAACGTTTGTAAGGTGTATGGAATTAAAGCAACACGTTCGAAAGAGCAAAACAATTGGATGTTTTGAACAATTCAAACGTTAGACATAAAATTTCTGATCAGCAGTAATGATTCTTCATCGTAGTTGGCTGAACTAAGAGTGAACACGTATTTGGCCCTCGAGCTATCAAATACTACACTAAAGGGGGCACTACTCCCATAGTTTATTTTACAGTGTGCCCAGCGGGGGCTACATACAATGGTAACATCACCCTTACAGTATATTATGACATTGCATCCTGTAAGGGCCACACATAAGAATGACAATCGTATTACTTTATTTTACACATTGGGTCGAGAAGTATAGGGAGAACAGACAATATTAAATATACAAGTATTATATACTGGATCATGCGTGGGTCGCGAATAATAAGGACAATCTCTCATAATTTATTTTACACATTAGATTCAAAAAGGCCCGCTCTTAGAAGGATCTCTCGTACTGTAATGTTGGATAGCAGCAATATATTTAAGTGGTAGGCAATGCTCTCGCCACAATAATTTCTTCCCATGATTAGATGAAACGTTGGATGCCTGTTAGATTTGTTTTGGGTTACCTTTTCTGGCTTACCCTGTACTATAATGCATTATTTTACCAAACTTTATAGAAAATTATATTCATATATAAAACAAAAAATACAAAATTTGAGTTCCAGAACAGTGCTTAATTAGATTTAGATTTTGAGCCATCTTTATGAGTCATAACAATATATGATATTGTATAAAAAGTGCCATCTTTAAATTGAAAAGATATATTATAGTATTGATATATATTTATTTCAAGCTGACAGGACAATTATTAGGCCTAGAGTAGAGTAGTACATGAGTATATTATGTTATTTTATACTCATAAAATGTATGTATATGTAAAATCAATTATATGTGACATAATTTGACAAATGAGTGGCACATTTGGCGGGAATAGAATATTTAAATGAATTATATACCACGATATTGTGAATATTAGAACTGAAAATTGGATTTATTTATCATCATTGTCAACGTTTTTATTGTAATTTATGATCATAATTCTATTATTTTATTTACAATATTCATTGTTTAGTGAATAAAAGTTGAATCGTAAACACAGAGTTGGATTTTATGCTGACGATTGATATGAAAGAGCCACTCTACATTGCTAAAGGTAAAAATGAAAAAAGCGTTCGGCGATCGATGTTTTTTTGTGGACAAAATTTGAAGCTAGATATGGAAACACCTCTCATCATACACTCCCCTCCATAAGTTTGACTACCTAAGCCCCCCCCCCCCATTGAACTACGTGTTAAGGCCTCATTACATTATCATGAACTTATACTATTGATGGAAACGTAAAAATTGATGATAAATTTGATGAATTTTTGAAAATCGACATTCCCATGTTAACCAATGGGAATGGTAGTTTTGCCGCAAGTCATATGAGAGGATATCCATCCATCCGAGTCCTTGCAAAAATACGAGTTGGGCAGGCAATTGAATTTGCTAACTTTATTTAACAAAAATTGATATGTTTCTTCAGGTTCAACAAAGTTATAGGGCTTTAAAGTCAAAGTTGTTTTTCAAAAAACCTCTCCCATTGAAATAACACAGGAGACGAAAAACTGTTTTCAAAAATGACTTGAAGCGCTGTAACTTTAGTATTCATCAAATAAACTAAACATTTAGTGTACAAAAAAGTTAGACAATTCAATTTTCTATATCAAAATATATTTTGCTGAATCTTTTACTGAAAAGATATCCTGATTTCTGATTTGCCCCGAACCCTCCATTTCCCATTGGATTACATTGGAATTACGATTTTCAAAAATTCATCGAATTTATCATCAATTTTCGACCTATTGTAATTGATGAAAAAAATTGAGAAAATTTGGAGGTATTGGAAATAAAGTCAATTTAAGTTCCCATCAATATTATGGTTTATTTCATCGCCGGTTAAGTAAATAAAAAACCAAACGTAAAGCGGCTTAACACGTAGTTCAATGGGGGAGCTAAGGTTGCCAAACTTATGGAGGGGAGTGCAAGTATTCAATATCAAATATATGGTCAATATTCAACAATTTTTAACATAAACGATGTGCTAGGCAAGGCCTTTTACACTTTGATCATCCAGATAGCTACCAACGCTTTGACCATGGAGTAGATAACGATTGAATGTGTAGTAACTATAATTAACTAATCGTTAATATTCTACCCATTACTGATAACATTTATGATTTGATAAAAAATATTCGACGTATTGTCGGTCTTTCAAGGACCAAAAGATAAAATTGTAAACTTTGGCTCGATATACAAAAATGTGTTCATTCATAGTTTATTCAATTTATTAATAATTTATTCGCAATTTAATATATGTTTGACTCTTAGTTAGGAAAATGTTTGCGGAACTGAGAGTCAGCGTTTAATAAGTGAAACAATCGGGGAATTATAAAGTTTGAATTGATTCAGTCAGACTAAGTTATATCGTATAATTTAAGTATACGATATATTTGATGTATTTGTATGTCCAACATTGTACATAAATGGAAAATAAGGGACCTATATTTGGACTTGACCGAGATGGTTTCGAGGAGACTGTAAATAGCGAGACGCGGAAAAAGTGATAACGACGCTGGTAGTGGTAGGCTGAATAAATGATTAACCGATTATAAATACCTATGATAAAATCATTTTTTATCTATTAAAGTAATTCTTTCTCTCTAAAATATATATCAAACGTGCAGAACACGAGACGATGGAATGAATTGATAATTAATATATACAGTCAACAGGGATTAATATGTTTTGAGGCAATTTAGCACAAAAAAAACATTTGCAATTATATGCGTGTTCTTACTGCATTTAGCAAAATAGGATCCATTCCCGGATAGAATCAATGAAAGAAAGGATCAAAACTGCATATCGAACAACATTAGATTGGAACAAGAAAAAACAAGAAGATCAAATACAATAGGGTTTGAAAAATCAAAGACAATAAGATCGGAACGAGAAAGGACAATAAATCAAAACAATCGAACATAGGATTCGGGGCGATCAAAAAACAGAACACAAACTCATTGAAAGCAAAACGCTAACATTTTAGGCACAGCATAGTGAAACGATGTCGTGGACGAACGCATCAAGATATACTCTTTCCTATAAATATCCGTAAGTATGATCAGAAAAAAATATATATAACAAAATAATATAGCAATTTTAATTATCAAAACAATATTCAATTGTAATTACAAATGTTTAATTTAAAAAATTACAAACTAGCAAATGTTTCAATATTCGAGTTCAAATAATCGTGATGCATTTGAAAATGTAAAAGCTGTAATTTGTGCTGTATCTCTGACAGGTTATCATGAATTGCTCATAATGCAGACATTTAAGAGTAGCTCAACCTTTACGTTATCTCTGATCTTAAAACAGTCCAATTCTTGAGAAATAAACTGTAACTCAGTAGAAACGTAATGCTCCAGTCACATTTGACCTACGGCAACCGTACGGCGGTCGTAGCTTCCAAACATCGAGAGAGATACACAGCATAAAATATAGGAATAAGTAACATTTAAAAGTATTGAAAATCAAGTCAACCGATCATAAAAACCAAACCTCCAGTGTCCCAAATAGGACTTATTTACTGTTATTAGTCTTATTTACCGTTGTTATCGCTTGGAAGCAATTGCTCATCAAAGAAAGCAGATGAATGACATCTAGAATTCTACGTGAAACACCATCTTGTAAACAATTTTGACATTTTCAGAACAGAAGTTTTGCATTATAGCATCAGAGCCCATATACAGTGCGTGTTACAGGTTGTACAATTGATACAATTTTTGATGAGTATATTTTTTATTAGCTCGTTGGCCACTTTAATATAAATGAATATATTATTGGACTTTGTTCAGGTGGGAGTAAATTTATTGATCTATTGATAGTGGCTTTTTATATTTTCATTTTCTCTTCTATACAATAGCCAGCCAATTGATAAGGCTATACCTTTAATTGCTACAGAACTCAATCACGCGGTACTAACTCACCCGCAAAACCGTTAATTTGAATTTCAAACCTACCCTTTCTTTGGAAAATCAATGACTGTGAGTCTCACAGTACACCGTTTTTCTTCAAACTTGTTCCATTAAAACCTTCACAGAAATACCTTTCACTCGAGACACTGCTTTTGTGTAAGAATCACTCGTTTTAGCGGCGTTTTGGTGCCCAGATGTGAGAAGATGCTAATCTTAAGAGATTTCAACCAAAAGCCTCGATATATCGCCAGTTCTTCTATAATTCTCCCCTATAATTTGCACAAGGACTCCCATTACAACCCTCCATCTCTGCATCAACCTATTTATTACATTAAACGCAGCAATTTCCAAAAGTCCTACGCATCTGTTCTAAATTGATCAAAACGCCCCGTTCTCTTCCAAAACGCCCCGTTGGATCTATACACCTTATCAGTAGTCATAGACTCTGCGGGGCGTTTTGGAAGACAACGGGGCGTTTTGGTCAATTTCGAACAGTTGCGTAGGACTTTTCAAAATTTCTGTGTTTCATGTAATAAATATGTTGATGCAGCGATGGAGGGTTGTAATGGGAGTCCTTGCGCAGAATATGGGGGAGAGTGATAGAAGAACTGGCGAGATATCAAGGATTGTGGTTGAAATCTCTGAGGATTTGCAACTTCTCACATCTGGGGACCAAAACGCCGCTAAAACGAGGGACTTTGTAAACAAAAGCAATGTCTCGACTGAAAGGTTTTTCTGTGAAGGTTTTAATGGAACAAGTTTGAAGAAAAACGGCGTAGTGTGAGACTCACAATCATTGATTTTCCAAAGACAGGGTAGATTTGAAATTCAAAATAACGGTTTTGCGGGGCGTTTTGGTTTCGATACGCCCCGGTGAGTTAGTACCGCGTGTCAATATCCAACAAAAATATCATAGCTTCATCAAAAATGAATAAAAACGCGTTTAGTCCCTGTCCCGCTAATTCCAAGTTGACAATTGCACAAAATAACCCTTACGTGACAGATATCATATTAAAACTTTTTAAATTGCGATTATTTTTAACAAGTGAATATCATTAACCGTTTTTATGTTTACTCATTTGACATCTAAACTTTTACTACCCTCCCTTGGGAATTAGCTGTGCACCTTTCCAACAGACATGATGTCCGTTCCCAAAAGCCCTCTAATATATAGTATATTATAATAGTTGCTGGAATTACACCATGCGTTTTAAGAAGGCGCCTAAAGTTTTAACCCGGTTTGAAAAATAGGTGTCATCACGATTGCGGTTTTACAAAAGCGCTTTTCCAAATCTCGTAGGACCCTAGTCACTAAAAAACGCCTCAAATTGTTAGGAGTTTAGTGAAATACCGATCGGTTTTTGTAAATCGCCTTACCCGGGTTTTTACCATTTGCCCTAAACGAAATAAGACGTATTTCGAATGCTATACATTTGGGCCACCGCAAAAATACAGGAAATGATGGATGGTACCCAAAAATGAAATTTATATTTCAAAAATTAAAAGTAAGTTCACACCACTGGCAAAAGTCTCGGTTACGTTTTCTCTTATAAAATAGATGCTATAAGAATACATTTATTATAGATGTACATATCTGCTGGATATTCTCCATATCTACATCGAGTGCACGAAAGGCGTTTTAGAAATGACAGGTGTAATTCCAAAACAAAATTCCTAAGGCGCTTTAAATCAGGATGGCGATTGTGTAGAGAGCTTTCCCCTAAAGCGCCTTTGCGTATTTTCTGGTGTAATTCCAGCAAGTAAGAAATAAACAAAATTGAAAATTTATTTTCATTGAGTCTGTGTTTTTTAACAAGGTCTCTACGCCATCGTCAGGTTGTTTGCGTCGGCAAATAGCTTTAATCTTTTGTTGTTTTATGCCTTGTGTTCTATATTGTTTCCAGGGCACTTCGAGCCCCGGGAGAATCAAAAAGGAAACCGATCTATACAAAAGGAAGGGGCCAAGTGGACGAAGACCATGAGCCTCGCGAGGCTAATCCCTTTCTTGACTCTAGACTAGAGTTCGAAACAGTCGCTGGAAACGAGAAGGAAAAACCCAAGGGTTTAGGAAAATTCACGACAATAAAAACCTATGTTATTATACTTTCCTGTGTTTTCCATTTGGTCATGGCTGATATGATGCTGAGAGTTGCAATGTTAACAACTGTGGAGTTGAGGTTTGCAATCCAAACGAGTGCTTGGGGAATTGTTTTCGCCGGTTTTGAGATTGGTCAAGTTTTCCTCGTGGTTATTCTAAGCTATTTTGGTCTCAATTCTCATAAACCAAATATATTATGTCTCGGGGGTCTCCTATTGACAATATCTGGGCTACTGTGGGCCATGCCCCATTTTGTATTTGGTGCTGGGGAGATCGTAATTCCAGAGCAAATACTAAATTTGACATCATCTGAAATCACGCATTGCTCTCCAGGGCAAGTATCCCAAAACGTCTCATGGACTGACCTTTGCCCAGTGGATAAATCATCAGACGTAAAAGACCCATATTCAATAATGACGTCATCGACCTCATATTGGATATTTTTCACGTCCATGTTGCTGATGGGAATCGGACTAGCACCATTCATGTCTATAGGGGTGCTGTATATCGATGCTAACTCGGATCCAGCTGATAGCGGCTATTACGTCGGTAAGTGGCGTAGATCTACTTCATATTTTAATAAACAGTATAGTTGAAAATAAGTTAAAGGCTTAGATTCTAGATATGACAAAAATACATTTTACATTGATTTCGGGTCGATTCTGGTCACTTGAATTTTGAAAACACTGAATGGAAGCATGTTTCCTTTAAGATATAAATCGTGTTTTATGAAATATAATCTTTGACTAATTCTTAAATGGGTGACCAATATATTGTGTAAATCGTAGTAGCATATCAGAAAAATCAAATTGGTAAGTGGTCTTTCATTATTTTGATTCTGATTTTTGCTTTCATTAGGGTACGTGTACCTTTCTTGGGATTATTCGCCCTAAAAGACAAAGTTTACAATCTGAAAATACCCTATCCGAAATATGACTGTCTGGAGTCGGATGTGTGAGCATAACGTACTCAAAAAGCCATGAAAATATATACCGTTGTATTTTATATACCCTTATTTATTTTGAATGAACGTTCAATTCGTAATTTTCAGGATGGGTGTTCACCATTGGAACGTTTGGTTTAACAGTTGGATTTTTTCTTGGAGCAGCAATATCAATTATTCCGATAGACCTTAAAAGTAAGTTATTTGATAACCTAGACCTCTAATCATTTGTTATGATTTCCGAATACCAACAGAAAATGAGGTTAATATCAGGTTGAAAAATTCCATACACTAACCTTTCAGGTTGAGACATTCCGTGAGGAGATTTCGGGTTACGAATTCCATGGATACACTTTTTATTACATTTCAGGTTGGGACATTCCGTACGACCATCATGATTTTCTCGGAGCCTGGTGGTTAGGCTCCCTTTGTATATCAGGGCTTATCTTCATTCTTACCCTACCACTGGTAACGTTTCCAAAGAAGATTGAGTGCATACAAAAGAGGAAGCCGATGATGCTGTCCCGGAAAGCCAAGTTGAAGCTGAATAAGGCGCCCAAGATCCCCGCAGCCAGACAGGAGCCACATAGATATTCGTTGGCTGGTAAGTTAAATTGCTATTATGGATGTGAATTCTTATATCAATTATTCAAACATAATATCGAACAGTACATTCTCCCACCGAGCAGTCGGTGCTTTTCAGAGTGAACGAGGAGATATGTGAAATTATCTTTTGAAAACTAGCTGTTTTTGCACCTTTGTGGACTTTATTTTATTACATTTACCTACCGAGTACCGATGCGCGTTGTACCGAAATCCGTGCCAGTGGGACGGCACATTGCCTTAACCCATCAGTTTTATGACGTGCACTTTAGCGGGAATTTCAAGTTTTTGTCAGTGTAGACATAAGAAGTTGCAGTTGTCGCGAATTTTTCAATATTTTCATTTGAAACTCGCAAGAACGGTGCTTTGAATCTAGCTCTATACTCTTTCAAAACGTCATGTAGACACATGATTATGTACGTGTATGACGGTAACATTATATAGGCATGGAATAATAAAAGTGGAGCCTTAAAAGTCAAATATGGTGCTATGTTGAAAAGCCAAGAAAAATTCTACTGTATCAGCATATAAAATAGATAGTTTATATATTACTTTATCATACACCTTGGTTCATATTATACATGATTTTTATTTACTTCCACAATATTTTAACTTTAAACTTTTAAATATGAGACTGGATGTTGTTTATACATTCATATTCAATTAAAAGTTTATTGCGCAAAAACATATTTTCAGATAAAGCTTAATTTAAAATCTTTGAACATCTTTACATAGCTCAGTTGTGGTCAGAATTTTTTAACTGATGCTAGGCGTTTTGGATTGAGGGGTCGTCTCAACAAACTTAATTCCAGTGAACCATCAATTTCTGTATTTCAAAGAGGATAAAGTCATAATTCTGTTATTTATGTTTGATTATGGTAAACCCTGTACTTCATAAAATATATTTAATCGTGGTAAATTCTGTATTCAATGGATAAACATTTATCTATACTGTATTGTTTCATTGGTAGAAATAAATATAACTGTGCTATTATAAATATAAAGTTTCACATTTCTTATTGAACTTGATAATTACTGTATTTTCGATCTTCTGCTGATGGGGCCAAAAAATGTTGTCATGGAGAGAGGGCAAGATATGTTGTCATGGAAATAATAAGAAACGCATTCATTTGTTTTACTTTAAATCTTGCCAAATCCAAGTGTGATTTTTATTAATGTGTGCTTCAATGATCCCATTAATTCTGAAGTTATTTCATTTTCTAACCATTTCATAAACATTTATTTTCATATAATACTTCTAAATTGGCATCATTTCCATGTTTAAATTGCTTATATAGTTTTTGGCTACTGATATTATCTCTATCATCAGTTTTCATTCCACAAACGAAATATCAATTATTTTGCCCAATATTTCAGTTTCATCATTTTGAAACATTGAATACATGTTTTAATTGGCAGTTTAAGATGGTGGTCATTATCCAATATTCAGCGCCCCTTTAATATCTATTTAGGAACAAATCAATACTAGATTTAGCAGGTCATCTGATTCTCAATTTGATTTTGATTTGAATTGATTCTCAATTGGGACCCAAAGTACTTTGCTCCACCGTTCTTGGTTGAGTTTAAGCCATGGCTCTAATTGGTACAAAAATTAAGCTACCCACGAATGCTGTTTTTCCTCCGGGGCCTTGCCATAACTAACGAAAACAATTGTGTGGACATTTCTGGATTATATCCGGGGTTTCCTTTTGTTGCTACCTCATTTATCAAAGTATCCATGCCAATTTCTTGACTATGTTGAAAGCCCATGGTCCTATCAACCGTACCTCATTATCTTATGATGACCGCACAAAATGATAGAGCGTGGGAACCGACAGTGCCAAATGCTACGGATATTGCAGCTATGTGTGTTGTGTTTTCAAGTGTTATTTCATATATGTCCGACTAATCGAATAATTGTTTTCATACTATCTAGATTTATTTATTAGTATCTATATGTCTCGTTCAGTCATTTGACCAATAAAAATCATAACTGCCTAGAAAGTAATATGAATAAAGTATGTAAATAAATGCAAAAGTCTTTTCTGGGTCACTGCGAATGGCATGATTTCCTCGAGTCTCTTCAGTTGCAAGGCAACCATACTGGGACCGATTCGCGTCGTTCCACTACTGCCCTTGGTGGGGGCCCGCTACCATACTATATGACTCCCGGAGTTTACTAAAGCACGTTAGTGGAGGAACCAACCACAGTCTCACAATCTGTGTCCGGCAAGAGCGGCCAGAGAACCAACCCATGCCAAGGGCCGGTAAACGGTTGGACCTTCGGACCGGGTGTCCGTAGTGACAATGATCAACAACTCCGTACCTGGGGCTCGAACGCGGGACCTCCGTATCCCACGACGTTCAACCGCAAAGTAGCCTCAGTTTACGCCACTAGGCTACCCTGCTTAGGTGTCAAAACTGCTAAAAAATAATGTAGTTGTTACAATTATTTGCTTGGATAAACATGATATTACATTTCTTAATTGATTAATCTGATTTAGTTGGAGTACGGGAGTCGTAAAGACAGAAAGTCCAAGAATCGTGATCAATGTAAAGTATAATATTTAAGACACATCTCTGACTATCGGGTAGGAGAAACATTCCAAAATGAAGAAGAATCATTTAGAACATTTGATTTGTTGCCAATATATTAATTGCGTCTCAAATGAATGAAATAAAGGGTATCGCGGGCCACTAAAGCCGATGAGTGAAAACAATTATAATTGACGCATATAGATCGCTCAATATAACGGTACACCGGTAAGTGAATAGGTTTTTGCAGATACGTCGAGGAAAATAAGCTATTTCGACGCTTGAAATAATCTGATTACGCTTATTAATAATTACGCGTGGCTATTAAACACAAGTGTTGGGTAGAACAAAAACAAGAAAACTGAACGACCTATTAAGGAACTGTATTTTCAAAGTGTTCAAGATATTTCCGCATGTTCAAAAACACAAAATTTATATTTTAGGCTATCCATATTTTGTCAGATATCTCCAATTCATATTACAGGGAAAACATAATCATGTTTCCAAAAATAATTTACACTCGCTACTCAAAATGAGGCACGGACACAAGTACAGAGAATAGCCTAGTGAAGGCATCTATCTAATAGTGGCTTTTCCATATAGCTTTGAAATCTCGTTAAGGTCTCATTTTAATGAGATTTTAGGAGATCTGCATTTTTAACCACTAAAGACTAACATTTTCTTCTATTTGAATTCTGTGCGTAATTTTCTATCAAAACAACTTAGTTTTTGCACTGTTATTTACCTTTATCAAATTCTAGAGATTTTCAAGTTTTCTAAAAATGGTCGGGCTAAATCCCCATTGACAAAGTAACATACATTGGTAATATAACAGGCTTTCGTCAATGTAACAAAAGCGAAGGACTTAGTATATTAATTACAGCTTTATTTACAAAACAAATTCCAAATCGAAGAAACTTATTAAAACTAGGCTATATTTTCAAGCTTTTGGCCAAATTATAATCTTCAACTTGACTTATTAGTTTTAAATCGAGAAAGCAAAAAATCGTAACCAGGAAGTCCATCAATTTTGTTACATTGACGTTCCGTCAAAGTAACTACAGGGCGTAACAAAAAAACGCAACAAGTAGTTATCTCGTAAAATTCCAAAACTAGTGATGATTACATGAATTTCATTTGATATACCATAAAGCCACGTCTCTCCTCTTTGCAATGATATGTCATTCATTCACATGTGGTAATGGTTGGGTGAGAAATCCTTCCATTTGCACAGTGGATCAAAATCAACTCTGAGCCAAGTTTTAGATATTGCAAAAATCAGTGCAAGGGCTAAGTGCCAATGGAAGTTCCCCTGACTTGAATTGTTGTGACTTTTTCTTTTGGAGCTATCTCAGGAGCATCTGTGCTCACAATTCCTCCACCAGATATTGCAAAACCTCGAGAAAGAATTGCCCATGGGCTGCTTTTCTCTGCTTTAACCCACAGATGACTCGGGGCTGAACCATGCATGACGTGGACAGATGAGCGCATCTTTATATGCAAGGAAGTGGTGGCAATTTGAAGGGGTATAGGATGTATTCTTGCAAGAGTATGAGTATGAACACTTTACTGTCTATGCCACACCTGTCACAGCTTCTTCCAATAGCCCCTATGCCCCTTGTACTGACTTTCGGAATGTTTAAAACTTGGTTCCGAGCTGAATTTTGCCCCACTTTGCAAAATTAATGATTATTCGGCCAGCCATGACTCTCTGTGAATGAATGATATTCCATTGCAAAGAGGAGTTATTTGGCTTTTTGGTACATTGAATGTAAAGGATGCAGTCAGTTTTCCTCCAATTTTGCATCGGGCTCCGTACACTGAGTTTTGCGATGTTTATAACTTGGTCAAAAGCTTATGTTGGCCGACTTGGCAAATGGATGATTATTCGCCCAACCATGACCAAATATCCATGAATGATATATCAGTGTAAAGAGGAGACACATGGCTTTGTGGTCCATTGAATGAAATCAATGCTGTTATCACTGGTTTTGTGCATTTCCGAGATAGATAAAAATCTGTTGCGTTTTTTTATACGCACTGTAGTTGTGGAACAGTGATTATGGCATTCGGAATAACACCTTTCGGTACAATGCGCGTCGGTACAATGTGCGTCGGTATATTGGGTTTCGGTATAATGCGCGTCGGTATAATGCGCGGACCCCGATTAATCGAACCCCTATATTATGGGCTTTCAATTGAAAGCCCATGCCTATATGAATAGGTACATTTTAATATATAACACTATGGGGGTATGGGTTTCATAGTTGGTCACGAACGCCATAAGCGCAAAGTATTGTTCAGAATATTTTAAATTTCGTGTTAGATTACTATACGGTACAGCTGAAGCATGGTTTTTGTTTTTGATAAATTACAATAACGTTTAACCTCTTGAATACCAGCCTCTAAAAAGGGTTTGAAACCAGAGCATTTTTCATTTTCTGCTAGTTTTCTGGATATTTACATCTAAAAACACTATGTTTGATATTTGATTTCATAAGAAGAGTAAACATAGACCCATTACATACATTCTAAAACATTAGTTGTGAAGATTGGATAAAAAATGCCAAAGTTAGAGCAGTTTTAGTGAAAAATTCTGTGACAGATATATCTGTCGCTCTGGGTTCCAAATGGATTTTATTTGTGACAGATATATCCGTCATTCTGGGTATTCAAGAGGTTAATGATATTTCTTTGCGTATTTTGTGAAATTGTGTTGACGTTTATTTAAGTTACAATGTAAGTGCATTATATTTGATTAATCAGTATCTGAAAGTTTGATTTGAGTACGTTTACATTAAGTCCCAATCACGCAAATCCCTTGAATGTCCCGGGACATCCTGCAAATTTAGGTGGATGTCCCGCGAAATCCCGCAAATTAAGGGCATTTTGTCTTAAAAATCTGTCCCTCTATGAAATCTTTGGTGGTTAACCTGTTAACTGTCCCCCACTTAGGGTGTTTATCCCTCGAATGGTCCCGCGAAATCCCGCAAATTTGATAAAAAAAAGATTGGCCTATTAACGCAATCACGCAAATCCCTTAAATGTCCCGCGAAATCCAACGAATTTAGTAGATGTCCCGCTTAATCCCGCGAATTTTGGCCACTGTGTCTAAAAAATCTGTCCCGCGAGAAAATCTTTGGGGGTTGACAGTACTGCTGGTGGCACTTATATTTTCGTATTGAATGCGATGCACCATTTTTATGCCACCACAATGCATCCTTTGACTTAAAGATATATATTTATATATACATTTATTTTATTTAAGTGTCATTAAATACACTAAAATTTAAAGTTCCAAGATACACAAATCTTAGAAATTTATTCTCATTAGTTTCCATGACGTTTAGTTCATACCTACTTGGATGGATGTGAGTGTCCACCCTGTAGTTTTTACTGTATGACCACTTCGGACACCTTGCAGAATATCATAATTACTAGATCGATGGGTATCTCCTTTCCTTGTTGTGCAAGAATGCTTGCACCCTTATTCCTCGCATTTTGTACGTTATCACTCTTACAAAAGTGAATATTTGCAATAGTCATACAAGATTAAGGATATCCAACTGATCTACACTCCAAATATATATCAAATATTCATTGGAACGACTGACCAAGATCATCCGGGCTTATTTAATCAAGGATTGATGATTCTTTCCTAGTATGATGTATTATCGCATTGGTAGTGTATTCGTCTTGACAAGTATGCTTGTTAATGCTTTTTGGAGTGCACTGGGCAAAATTGACACCCTGTACCTTTATGTAATTCATTAAACCAACCCCATTTATTATGCTCATATATATTTCCTTGTTATTCTAGAGTTTCCGGGTTCCGTATGCCGTCTTCTCACGAATCTCCACTTCATGTGTATCTCTCTCGGTCTTTGCGCCGCCAGCTATCTAGTTGCCGGGGGATACACCTTCCTCCCTAAGTACATTGAGACGCAGTTTACCATGGTACCGTTCTGGGCGAATGTCACAACTGGTAAGTAAACGTCACCCCATGAACTTTGTAAGATATGTGAAATGTAACGAACAGTGAGATTGTCAATGAAGCAAATTACAAAGTTTGTGACATGAAATTAGCCACACTCACCCGTCAAAGAGGGTGCATTTCTAGAGTTTACTCTGGAAAAGAGTCTTTGTGCGCAATAATAAGTCAAATCTGCTTATTGGTATTTAAGATCAAACACTGCGCAAACTTAATCGTATCAATTATGCAAACTGTTCAATGTTTATCGTATCCATGAATATTTTGATAATTCCAGAAATCGTATCTGTGAATGTAGTTATTTAGAGAATGTTTCAAACTGTTCCAAGATTTCTAATCGTTCATGTTATACAGTATTTCTACATTTCCAGCAATCGTGTCGGTAACCGCTCTTGCAGTCGGAACTTTCTTTGGAGGTTGGGTCACAGCTAGGTTTAAATTAACTCCTTTGGGCGCCATGAGGTTAATCTTAGTGTCTCTCTTATTGTGCATAGCAGGCATGATAGGGTTAATGTTTGTTGGATGCCCTCAGCCTCAAATTGCTGGATCCGTTGACAAGATTGGGTAAGGTTCTTGTTCTAGAAAGTGTTCTAGCTTCTAGTACATGCATTAATAGTATAATGCAGTTTGATACCAGTTTTGACATAAAGCCTCACCCATCGATAAAATAGTTGAATTTGTCTACAAATATTCAATAGTTTCGTTCAGAACACAATGAAAGATTTTATGGAATTATGAATTCTGCTGCAAATACGAAAAACAAATTTTACTTATGTTTGACTTCAGATATCTTAACATGACAGCCGAATGCAACGCTAACTGCTCATGTGGCATCCTCTTTGAGCCAGTATGTGGCGCTGATAACGTGCATTACTACTCAGCATGTCACGCAGGATGTGGCGCTGGTGGGGCGGAGGTAGGTTTGTGAATGGAGTTCAAAATGGAATTTAACATGCTAAAGCAGATACTGATAACCATGGATTGAATCAGCATGTACATGCCCTAGACTAGCATATCTTCGTTTACAATCTTCTCTATATACTTTGCGAATGCATTGAGAACGATAGCATGTCGCGGTATGTGCCTTGAATGTTTTATTCTGAGGCCTGGGAGTACGTTAATATATTCTTTAAAAAACTTTAAAAAATAGTTTCAGTAAGAAAAACACATCGTTTGTGTCAGGTTGCAGTATATAAGATTCAGTCTTCCAGATGGTGGCATAAACATGCCACCATCTGTCATTTACTACAGAAGCCAAACGCCGAACACTAACTGCCGAACGCCGACCGCCAAATAATCGCCAACCGCCGAACGCAGTCAACAAAAAAGTCCTGGTTGTGACATAAAAACCATCATGCTTCGAATAAGTTTTGACAGCTTCATTATTATAACTACTAACTTATGTCCACAGAATTACACTCGCCTTCAACCCCCTCATTAGAATACTACCTAATTTAAAAGCATGTATATTGTTTCTTATGTGTGTTCTGCCCGTAGAATTTAACAGACTGTGCGTGTGTACCAGAAGGAACTGCTCGAGTGGGCTACTGCGAAAACGACTGTTGGATGTTCTGGGTGTACTGTGTGGTCATGTTCTTATGTTCTTTCTTTACTGCGTTTGCGCAATCACCGGCTATAGGCATCCTTTTAAGGTACATTTTCATTGCACTCTTGGGCACTTTACTGTGTTTGCCGTGCGAGCGGTCAAACGGTTGGATGGGTGAGGGGGCGGCGAGAGTCCGTTCGCTCGGTCATCGGCTATTAGACATCTAGGTATTACCTTACTTTCTCTTCAGGAATTGTTTATCCCGTCATTTTTTGAAAGAAAGGCCTAAAAACTCGATTTTCCCATTTCAGATGTGTAGAGGATGAATTAAAGGCCCTTTCCCTTGGTATTAATGGGGCCTTGCTCAGCTTTGGCGGTAAGTTACACGTATATTGTACATGGACGACATTTGTAGAACATTTCGTTATAGGTACCTTTAAGTGTGAATGAGGAAATCAAAAATGAACCCAGTCAGTCTTCCGATACTGTCCTTTTGGATTACTTATAAAAAATATTTTCCTCGCCTAAGATCGAGTATATCCCAGAAATCATAAATGAACCTTTCTCAATATAACAGGTTCATCTATGCATTCTGGGTATGTTCTCCCCTTATTTGCCTTGTAACACTTTTTGAGAGTGCCTGTTATATGTTTTCAGCTATGATCCCGGGACCTATAGTGTATGGTATCGTCATAGAAACCACGTGTCTGTTCTACCAGCCCACCTGCGACGGTCCAGGGGCGTGTCTTATGTATGACAATGAGAATTATCGCTTCAAGCTACATGGCATCACAGCTGGTATGTAGTGTTCTTGGAGGGAACATCCCCTTCAGAAACGTTGTAATATATTGGTACACCCCCTCCCCCTGATTAAATACATTGGATACTCCCAATTACCCATCTTGACTCACCAAGCTTTGAACGGGGGCCGTTCCGTACATATTTGCCCAAACACGAAGTTTCGAAATGCCTTTTCCAATTTGTGAGTTGAACAATGATACTTAGCAAATCAGTGTAACTTTGGATAAGATTTAAAATGATATATGACACATACTATGGAGACATTGGTATACGCATGTATGCCTAATATAAGGAGTCCCATACTTTCGGGACACTTGTATATTTTTCATGTTTTTCCAGGTACTCAGGTGATCGCATTGATGTTTTTCCTGGTGAGTTGGATAAAACTGAGAACTACAGAATTTCAACCAACGAGTCCCCAACAGACAGAGAAAGATGAACACATGATGGCTGGTAGGGGGAACCCATGGTTAAAACATGCAAACAGAACTGAAAACACAGATTAATCAACAATACAGGGTGGTCATAAATAATTGACTTGAAATCATAATTTTGGGTAAATGTCATGCAGTGTGTGATTGTCTCGAGGGGAACATGTGAGTGTGATGCGAATATAGGAGCTGAAAACACGTATGAAATAAAGCTTTAGTGTAATACTAGTGATTGTCGAACCACAGGAGCAGAACTCGGTAAAAGAACGTGTGATTGGATGGCTGTCGATGAGGAGGCAATTAACGAATTCAACTGATAACACTGGAATAAACAGAATAAAAGCCTTGATTGTCACATAAAAATGTTAGACATAAAAATGCTAGATATTATCTAGGAAAATCATATTTGAATGTTCTCCACAGTTCATGTGATATCAAAGAACAAGCTAAAGGTGGACATGATCTATCAAAGACATTCGGACAACAGTACATGTAACTGTAAAATTGATCCACATATCAAATATATCTTCACATGATATTCGATCTATATCCTTGTAACCATGTGATAAAGTTCTTTTACTGCAATTCTGAATAGGCAGTAGATTTTGGTTGACCTAATCAGATTGTTTATGGCACGATCAGAGGATTACTGCTTACTAAAAAAGCTTAGACATTAGAACCCTCACAATATTACAAATCAGAGTGTTCACCAATTTTCAATATTTAAACTGAGGGCATGTCTATTTTCAAAACAAGTAACTCAAATGGGTAAAGGTGTATTTTCAATATCTCAATACTGTATCTCAAGTGGGTGTAAGCATATGGTGAATATCTCAATTAGATGGAAACCTATATGTGTCATGTCTTGAGTTGGTGCAAGCTTATGTTTAATTTCTCAAGTGGGCGTCTCTCGAGTTTCTAATATATCAAGTGGAGGGAGTCTCATCCTCTTGCATCAATCCTGAGTAGATTTTATAACCATATATCAATAAAAATAATTACAAAAAATGATTTTAAAGTGATTGTATTCCAATATAATAATAATAGACCCTAATGTACAGTGTAAAAATATACCCCCAAAAATAATGTCCCCAAGAATATAGCTAGAACGTACATATTTACAATTTCCTCCTTTATACAAGTCTGTTTATCACCTTTGTATCATATTCACTCTACTATACCTAACACCTAGAGATGCATAAGATACTTTGTTTGTCTAACTGTATTGTTTGGTATATTTTTGAAAGTGCCTTAGTAACATCTAACATTCAACCGATAAACCATTAATAAGGAACAGACAAATAAAAACAAATACATAATCATTACTAATAAGCCAAATGGGTTACTCATGAACACCAAATGCAAGGTATAGTAGAGTGATATTGCTACATCAAATACTACTTTCATCATTATTTATCTGACCACAAGGTAGGTTAAATATTCTTAAAGGAACAATGTCTGAACATTACTTTATTGAAGAAGGACATTTTAAGAAAACATCTCTCCCTTTTTATTTTTATAGTAACAAAAAGAGGGATTGAAGTTTTTTGTTGTTGTAAATCCCAATTTTTCATAATTTTATAAAATAATGTTCAATGGAGACAGTATACCTTTAAGTAACATAAATTGTGCAAAGAGTTTGCATCATACAAACAACTGAAACTAATCAATATGAGGTTTTGAAAAAATGATTTTAAAGATAAAGTACCAATTAAAGCGCCATGTAGATGCTAAAGTTGGCCCATCAAACGTGAAATACATGCATAAGTCGAACCAAAAAAACACTAAAGGTTGTCCAGTTCAATTGTTACAAAACAAATCTTTTATCTACTAAAATATTCTCACTAACAATGCCAGTTAAGCTTAATGCACTGTTATAACTTAACAGAGGACGGTCAAGGCCGATTACAGGTTCCCTCAATGTTTTTCCGTTACGACACCTGGTTTATTAAGCATCCACCAATACTATGATTTTTGACCTATCTTGTACTAGTATCCATTGACAAATAAAACTCAGGCCAAAGAAATTAGCCTGTTTAACCTGACAATGTTATAGTTATAACTATCGAAACAAACCAAACAACCATCTCTATTTAACAGTCAATAGAATATATAGCAGATAACTAGAATACATGCAAAACTGGAATGCATGTACAACAACAAATGTACAACTATAGGATATTTAGTGGTACTTAAATCCTAATCTTAGTAATAGCGCTACATAAAGTCAATCTCTAATAACAAACATATTGCATTTTTACTGCTATAAAGAACTATAAAGAACTACATAACACACTTTAAATGAATGAGAAAATGTTACATTTCATTTGATCATTTGTATTTTATGAGAGTGAATATACATATAAGTGTATTTTAGAATAAACAAATTGTTTGAGATTACAACTTTTCGATATATTCATATACATGTATCTTCATCGTGTAAAATACTTGTATTTTGACGTAGAAAGTATGATCAGATCATGGTCGATTTTAGTGAATTCAACAGCTGTTCTTTTTTACAGAATGACCCAAAATAATGCAACCCTCTTATTTCAAAATAAGTTTCTCATTTATACTGGGATCTTATTTAATATAAAAAAGATTACATTTTTGTGGGTCACCCTGTATAAATGTACAATGATGATCATTATTATTGAGATTTAAAAAAATATGTATTTTCACATACAACAATAAATAAAAGCTTTTACAGTCAACATTTTAAATAATCTATTAATATATTAGATATAAACAAAACAATATCACAGATGTTCAAATTTACTACTCATCCAATTTGAATTATGAAAATTGTATTTTCAATCATGTATTTTGTGGTTATTAAAAAATGATTTGCATGGAATAATTTAAGACTTTTACAATAACTAAATGAAAACAATTGTATTACATACCTATACAATATGAAATATGTAGAATTTTGAAAATAAATGTTGAAGGAATGAACTTCAAAACTCTATACTACTATATATCAAGGGAAAGATCAATACCCGGTGATTTCAGCGGGAAGTGGCGTTTCGTTCAGTGGATGATCTGCGCGCGCACGCATAGATGTGATTATCCAATATATTTAGGGGAGGGCTATTTGAAATAGTTTTTGGTCTCAGGCGCAACCCAAGGCTGTTGTCTTAAGGACATTTCATTGAAAATGAGCCATTCGGCTGATAATTGGTAGGAGTTTGCGATCTTATAATGTATAACTGTTACTCAGACACATATTTTGACACGATTCTGTAGGAAATAAGCCGCTTTGAACCGAGAGATATTCACGATTGATATGCACATTTTTGATTGTGCCATTGCTTTTCCATTGCACAATCCATGTATTGATAGAAGTAACAGAAAATTGACAGATTAGCTTTAAACTTTCAGCTTTGATGTTTAAATATTCTGTATTTCTACCGGACTTCTTGCTGAATATCATATTTTATCAATTTTCTGTCTGCAAAAGAGCGTTTACATTTGACACAATAACAGACTGAGCCTTTGAAATCTAGGATTCCCCAGGAAAATATGACGTCATACTAATTAGCATAAGGATTTCCCTATTGGTCTGGGTCGAGCCTTGTTCGAAAACACAATCCATAAATACATGCTAATTTCTAAGGAGATAGGAAGTTTATAACGTGTTTATCGATTTTGTTTAAAGATTTAATCAATTATCAAATTGTCTAAGTGGATAAAGTGGTCACACTTGCTTCAATTCATAGCGTAATCGACGGATAGAAACTGACCGAATTCCTGATATCCTACCCCGTATTACTGTAGGCTATTAAGCACAGTGACCTACAGAGGGCGCTATCACAAACAAGTGCTGCACGAACCGATAAATTCCCGGGTATTGTAACGCCCTTGCTATATATGACAAAATATCAAAATTGTGCAACGTTTGAAGTCTTTTGCAATAGCCAGAATAAAACCAGTTGTAAAATCGAGTTTTTTTACAATTCTAATGATAAAGTCATACCATTGAAAGTTATTTCTTTTGGGTATTTTTTAATTCAGTTGTTTTCATAATAGATTCCTTGTACCATAACTGATATATATCTCAGCATATAACTCAGCACTATAATCCTCTGGGGTTCGTTTTGGTACGATCGTAACTTACGATCCTGAGAAAACCATTGTCTATTTTATTATGAACAATTACTTGCTACCCGATCGTAAGTTATGATGAAAACAGATTTCTGTGTATTCGGAACCCTCATAAGGTCACAAGTTAGGGATTTTCTACAGATTACCTGACAAAGAGATAATACATAGTTAGACCCAAAAGACAACTTGAAATAAAGACCAGTTGTTGCATTCTTGTCTGCTATTTGGTGAGAAATAAGCTGACCCTAATGAAAAGTAACTATCTCCAAGTCTCAGGGCAGAAGCTTAAGTGACATCATAAACAAGGACTTTTATAGATGGTAAGTCAGAACTTTTAGCTTGGTTCAATACTGCTGCACCATCTTTGTGTTAAACATATCTGAATGTATATACTAAATGTTAGTTTGTGCATTATCATATCCCTTTGTGCTACTAACTCACACTATTAACTATCTATCCAGTATTGCTCACAAATCTCCCATTATCATATATATTATTAGTTCAGCTGATTCAGGTTTCTTTTTTTCAGCAATGGTTTTATCCTATTTTTCTCAATTAATACAGTGTTGTCCTCGCAGCAGTATTTTGATTATTCAACAAGAGTGATATCCTAGTCTCCACCCATGTTGTCCTGAAAATACTATTTTTGGTCTTGCAACATTGTGATACGTCACAGCTCCTACACATAACACCTCCACAGATATGAATTATGCATCCCACTTGTTAATTTTCCTCCAGGAAAAAACTGTTACTTAAACTACCATTAGAAGAGTTATGGTACTGGTTTTGCTCCTATTTACATGCATGCACAATATCCCACTTAATTACCATGTACAACATTATCGTACCTACAATTTGTGAACATGTAGTCACATATTACTTAGTCATAGATGAAAACCTCAAAACAGGTGAACACCTTTAAGCAGATGAACAGAATACTACTTTTGTTGTTTTCACTTAGCTGTGCAGAATTCAAATGCCTAGCTCCATGGGACAACATGGATACATACATCCATATTTGGTCGACAAAGTTTCCATGGAATCTCTGTTTATACATGTATTTCTTTTATATATGACACAACGTGGTGCTGCCCTCTATTTCAGATCTTCTGTCCTGAAAAATCAAAAATGCAAAAATAATTCAAGATGTCCAATCAATCATGTAATTTTGTCTCGGTTCTTGTTTTAATGTATAAAATAATTTTAAGAATGACTCAAAATTTAACAATTAATGGAGATCATTCATGACTAAAAATACCTGTTTTTCCATTATACGAGGGGTGATTCAAAAGTAATGGACAAAATTTTATAGGCATACTAAATTTCACCCAATCAGTCTAATTTTTTTCACAGTGAATAGATCAATCAATTCTCTACTTTGTGTCGAATTCTCATTTAAATGCATTTGAAATTGTTTCAGCTATGCGTAACCATGGTAACAAGGGTAAGCATGGATGGAATTGGTTTTTTAATGATAATTGAATGTTTTTGTCATTTTTGCTTGATTTCGTTTTAATGACTCAATTACCACACAAGATATGTCTAACAAGCATGGTAATGCAATTGTCAAGCAAGACTCACATGCCCATGTGTTTGCTGTTGAGTTCTAAATTCAGCAACCAATTGTGCTATGACATCACAATGATATTTCTAAGAATGATGAGTCACAGTGAGTCAGAAAGTAGATCAGACTCTTAGACTCACACACATCCAAGAAATGTCTACACAGGTCCAAGCTAGTTCAGGATACTCTTGCAGCATTCATGGACATGCCTCAACTTCCACATGCTCCATATAGCCCTGATACTGCTCCTTGTGATTTCTATCTTTTTCCCACCCTTAAGATGGCATTAAAGGGACAATCCTTTCAGACATTAGCTGAGCTGCAAATGGCTGTACAAAAACAGCTGAACACCATGGCTGCATGGGTGCGCCGACAGAAGAAAGTAATTGAACTTGGAGGAGAATACATTGAGGATTGAATATAATTCAAATGGATGATCATCAGGAATAATAAGGAATGATATGGATTATTATTGAACTTACTGCGATATGCTTTTCATATACATCTTGCATTGCAAAATATATTGCACCAGCAAACTTTTCATTGAAAATCCATTTGTTATTATGATGAAAATAGCCTTAAAAATGGATTCCGGGTGTATGCACCATGATCCAAGAGAAGTGCTCTATCTCAAAATGTATGTGCATTTAGTTAATAAAATTTTAACATCTAATAGATAATTGATTAATCTTTATTTGTACAAAGTTTCATTCAAATCTGGTAAAGGTAAGCGTGCCTATAAAATTTTGTCCATTACTTTTGAATCACCCCTCCTATATACAAGTTAACTTACGTTTGTTCAACTGCTTCTTGCGCGCTAGTATCATCCTGGCCATCATTTTCAAGCACTTGCTTATCCTGGCTGACCTGATTTTGTTCAACTGAACCCTCCTCTGACTCTGGTATGCCATTGACAACTACAGAACTACTTGATACTGTGGAAGAACTTGACAAACTACGCTTCTTAGGGGGTTTCAGGTTTGCTTTCAGGGGCGTTTGTATCTTTGGTGACTGAGGCTCACTATTTGATTCTTGCACCTGCATGTGGTATTTATATGTCTCTTCTGTGCTTGCAACAGTACCTGAAGCAATGGAAAGATTTTGAATTAGAAAAATGAATTAAAGGCCGGTTTTAAAGTTGCTAGCAACTCCTATTAAAATATCAGGTTACATCCACACTTTAACATGGATTAGTAAGTTTAACAAGCGACATTGCTTAATACTTGATTTTGATTGGCTAAGCTTGAGGACTTTTAAATTTGAAAAATGTTATTACTGTTTTTAAATGCCTTATCACAACCCAGCAAAATAATGAAGTTAAAATATAACTGAAGAATATGAACATCAAAACATTGAAAGATACACATAACAAAATTGGAAGCAATACATTTTCTCAATCAATATGACAGTTGAGAAAATTGACCAGCTTTGTGAAATATCAAAAAGCCAGTTATTTTGGCTGTTCCATTAGTCTGCCTCCTATTTATACCCCATGGCTCTCTTTAAACAAAACCGTTTCACCACCTTCGCAATTACCAAAGCATAACAATTTGTTATTCACGTTAATGCTGATTATAGGTCGCAATAGTTGCCATAACAATGTCACCGTTGGTTGTACTAATAATATTTTTGACACATTTCATATTGCTATTAATTAATGAAAGTACAGATCATAGGTGAGGGACCCAATTGTACCCTGTATCAAAAATTGAGCATTCAATAACTGATTTATCCTATACTTAGTAGAATATGAGAATTAAATATGCAGACAGAGGTGCTTGCAATTATTAATCACATTGCTTAGGAAACAGTGTGTATGAATTTCCAATTAAGTAGATAGCAATCTTCATTGTGTTTAATTACCTTTAAGTATTTTACAATTTTACACATCTCATTTTCAAAATGACATTTAATTTAATTTTTACAATTCAAACGACTGAAATATTCATTTTAAAGATCCTTATATACATCACTAAATAAATCATATTTTCGTTTCTTACCAGATGCTAAGTTGAATGTTCGTCCTTTTATAGTTGGTTCTTTGGCTGGAGGAGACAACCAGTTCATGAAGGATCCAACAACAGGTAGTTGTCTCAAGGCTCCCTAAAGTCAAATATAATACAAATAAAATTTTGACTGCCAATAAATAATAAACAAGTTTTTTGACCCCTTTGTCTACAACGCATATTCTTTCATGATGAAGCTAGTAGGTGCTTCCCCAGGGAAGTAGTTTCAAACACAATACAAATCAAATTTTGACAGCCTGAATAAGATTTTTTGATCCCTTTGTCATCCCCTGTAGTGCCCAGGTAGCATTAGCCTTATGCTTGACATGACATTATGTATTTTGAATTGGTAACTTTCAGTGAAAAAATGTGAAAACAAAAACTGCTTCATCTTCAGCATTTAATCACTTTTCTTGGTTCTTTTTGGACAATCAAAATTCAAGGATAATATCTCATAAAAGATTCAATTGTCATGGCCTCACCTCTTGTGCGAGTTTTTCTAGGTTTTCTGCCTCTAGATCTTTATTTGCTGCTTCTATTCCTTGTCTGACAACTTCTGCCATAGTCTCCAGGAACTAAACATGAAAATAATACGGTACATTAATAATAAACCTGTTTTTTGCCTCAAAATCATTGTGAATGACCTCTTTGGCTTGCTTGATAACTTCTGCCAAAGTCAACACAACTAACAAACATAAAATTATCCCTTAATACCCAAATGGCTGTCAAATACCATCTGTGGTATGCAGGCACACAATAGAGCACATACCTCGGCAATGAAAACTCAAGAGAATTAAAATGAAGCAATCCCAAACTCAAAGAATCGCAATAAATGTCAAGTTTGCCAACAACAAAAAATTGTTGTCCAGATCATTGACAAAGAAGAAAATTGCTGGGCATTTGTTATTCAAGCAACAAAGGGATAATATCAACCACTCATATCAATTATTTTCACAATTTGTATAACATTATTCTTCGCTAAGTGCGCTAGTCTATGCCTGAGGTCTTTCACTTACCCTAGATGACTCCTCCACCTCTTTGCCAGTAGTATAGACTAATCCCACTAACTCCTCAGTATCAGTTTCCTCAGTTATAAGCCCAAACCTCACACACATAGTCCCCTCCTCCGTTTTGCCTGCAATGATATCATTATAAGATATAAGGACTATCTGCTTCATGTTTTAATATGGTTGATTCAATTTGAAATCACATAAACCCATAACATTTATGTTTTTCTGGTGGATTGACATTACTGTTCTTTACTTCTGGTGGATTGACATTACTGTTCTTTACTTCTGGTGGATTGACATTACTGTTCTTTACTTCTGGTGGATTGACATTACTGTTCTTTACTTCTGGTGGATTGACATTACTGTTCTTTACTTCTGGTGGACTGACATTACTGTTCTTTACTAAATGTGTTACAAGATGAGTTACATGTTTCCTTACTCAGGGGTTTCATTAGCAGAGAGCAACATGTGATTTTCACCGGTTGTTTTCACAAAATCCTGTTGTTTTAAGGGACTTTTCAACTTTTCCATGTTAAATTTATGATTTCCATTCATTTTGTCTGTTGTTTTCATTCATTTAGCTTGTTGTGAGAAATTCTAGTGAAACCTGCTTTTACTGATGTGTGATGTTTCCTTACCTAATGAGAAGGCTGTATCACATGATTTAAGCTGTTGAACCAGTTCTGTATTTAATTTATTAATCTCTAGGAGGTCCATTTCTCCTATGTCAACCTTTCCTACCATACTCTCTGGAATGTATCTGGAACACACATAGATAAGTGAAAAAATGCTTGTTTTGCCCCCACTTGCCCGTACCTTCTACGAAGAATAATTGACACCCTCTTCCACCGCCTATATTAGGATTCAAAAATCATGCATCATAAAAATTTAAAGAGAATACAGAAGTTATTAAATCTAAGTTATTATTATAAAAATACAGCTATTTATGGTCTACTTACTGCACTGCACCTAAGCCCGCCCAGTTAGGAAGATCAATAAGTATTAGATTATCTTGATGTACATGTATATTATTATAAAAATACAGCTATTTATGGTCTACTTACTGCACTGCACCTAAGCCCGCCCAGTTAGGAAGATCAATAAGTATTAGATTATCTTGATGTACATGTATATTATTATAAAAATACAGCTATTTATGGTCTACTTACTGCACTGCACCTAAGCCCGCCCAGTTAGGAAGATCAATAAGTATTAGATTATCTTGATGTACATGTATATTATTATAAAAATACAGCTATTTATGGTCTACTTACTGCACTGCACCTAAGCCCGCCCAGTTAGGAAGATCAATAAGTATTAGATTATCTTGGCCCTCTACAAGTTCTTGGAATGTCACTCTTTGTTGGACAGTTGCATCTAATATTGCCTGAAAAATATTTTATGATTAGATTATTGCATTGGCTATTGTTTTCATGAGAAAGCTCAACAAATAGTAGAAAATGCAAAATATTTTTGCGCTGATTTTTCAGTGCTGATTAAGTAACAAATATTTAGTTATCCAGCACATGCAGCCAGGGTACACAATTTGGACAATGTACCACATTTGCAATCAGTCCATTGCTCAAAGTAAGACAACAAGGCAACCATTGCTAAGAATGAAAATTGATTGACATTGGAAATAAGGCAACAGCTAACTTCAAACTAATTTCACTCTTGTATATATAGCAAAATCATAAGAAAGATAATTTCAAGCTATCTTTCATAAATTAACGATACTTTTAACTATAACTTACAAGTTGTTTTGTGAGAGAATCTACAAAGTTGCTTGCATCTTCTAGTGTTGTGTCATTAGCTGCAATAATAGAAATGAATAACAATAGTTATACCCCGGAACTAAACACATTGTCATTATATCAAACCTTTGAGGAAATTTTACAGTTTTTTTTCCAAAAATGATCTAAAAGTATTTAAATGTTATACAAATATGTATGGGAATGACACTTTTTAAAATATCTTCCATGAAGCTTTATTACTTGAATACCATTTATGAGAATAACCTTAAATTCCCATTTTAATATTAAAGTCAAGGGATCCTTAACAACTCACTGTTAGCAGTCTCCAAAGGAGCAAACCTAATACATATCCCATCATTCTCCAACTCCAGTGGGGTGATGTGGATACTTGGTACTTCTCTCCTTAGCACATCTACCAGCTGAAGAGTACAGATACATTATACTTTCATCAGTTTGACATTAAACAAGTATACGTGTTTGGATCATATTCGAACCAATAAAAGCACAATGTACTGTATTTTTGACCAAGCAGGGAGTAGCTTGACATGAATGAGCGATATCAAGGTCTGATCAAATCAATTTTATGTATTACATGAACAAACAGGATGGTGCTTTTTTGATTGGACCAAATAGGGAAAGTTTTATCATAAATAGACCAATTAGAGAAAGACTGTATTATAAATGAACCAATCACAGATTACTTACCCAGACATTGAGGGCATCATAGTAGGAATCTAAAGCAGCTCGTTTCTTTTCCTCCTCTGTCATTTCTGCATCATTATTAACTGCATATGGCGCTTTCTGGACATCTACAAAATTGAAGGAAACCATTGAACTATAATTATGAATTTGTAACACGTATATTCTGAAAGAGCCAAAAATGAATTAATAAATTTTGAAAAGATTTTACAAAGTTGTTGGTCTATTTTTTGTAAAAATAGAAACTGGCTATCTACTACTTAATGTATTAGCAAAAGAAATTGTTCTGTTGCTTTCAAATATTTTGAAATATTTCTGTTTCATAGCTATGGTTAGTGGGGGTTTACCTGGTTTTGTCCTATCTTTACTGTACTTGAAGACAACAGTTGGGTTTACAATCTCAAATATAACCTAAAACAAATAAATCATGTTACTTTAATTAACACATGTTTACAGATTGACCCTTTTCCATATTAATCTATATCTTTAAGGTTAAAAATGAAGATCTCCTAAAATCTAATTAAAAAGAGACTTAAACAAGATTTCATAACTTTATGGAAAAAGGACTGTTGTGTAGGACTGGGGCTCGCTTCCTAAGTCAACAGGTCCCAAAAACCGGTCCTAAAAGAGAACTGATCACAAAGAATTGCCTTGCACTACTGGCAAAATCAGATCAATTTTGAAGTGATGTTGTAACAAATCAATTGGAGAATTCTGTTCAAAAAGTATTAATTTTAGAAAAATGACTTTCTAGTGCTGATATAGTGTACATGGACTGGTCATACGTTTTTCAAGAAATATTTCAAATGATGAATTAAAATGTAAATTGTTTTTCACATAATATAACACAAAAAGCCAACACTTAACTGTTTATGATTTAACTGACATTAAAAAATAAAAAGGTTAACAGAAAAAGATTAACAGACATAGCACCGCAAAATGTCACGACTTTGTTGCACTTAGAAATATATAAGTGACATTTTGTTACAGACACTGCGTATTTAAAATCTGATCTTTATGTAAAATGCAATATTTGGATGTATTTTTATTTTTATAAATTTGACAACTGACAAGATTATGAATGCCTATATATTAAAATGACATCGTTAATAATGGTGTTTCCAGTGCGATTTAAGCACAAAAAAATGAAATATCATTTCGGATAAGCCGGGAGTCGAACCATGGTATGACCATGCAGGAAACAAGCATTTTTCCCCTAGACCACATGGCCGAATATACAGAGAGAGGTCAATCAACGCTACTCATCCAAACAGCTTTAATGTACAAGTCACGTGATATTCTTGGCGATGAATTTCCAAGAAAATGAGTTTGGACGGCAGGTGAACATGCAGAATGATGGTCACAAAAAATGGTGGCTATAACAAAATGTCACTGCTTCTTGAAAAGTATACAAACAATCAAATGAGTACGAGATTTATAATGAGGTACATGCATAGTGTTTTGTAATTTGACAGATCAGGAGGAAAATGTATACAAAACTTTTTATTGTATACACCTGTTACTCAGTGGTTAGTGGTAAGTGGTTGTTCACGGACATGTGTTTTGTACAATAACAGCATACCCCATATATTAAGACTAATGCCAATGGTTCACAAGCAAGTAGGCTCTCTGACACATAAACATTTCAGCAAACACTTTAATAAGTAGAGATGTCACGGAACAAAAAAAATTGGAACGGTTCGGTTCGGAAGATTTTTCTTCGGAATGGAACAATTTCGGAACAGAGTGACTGTGTGTATTAGATTAAAATAATCTGATCATCTAGGTCTATTTGGTAGCGAAAAGCTCTTCAAAACTCTTCAAAGAGAAGGAGTAAAAATAATGAACCTCTTTTGATACAAAATATTGAAAGAAAAATGCTGTTTTGTGGAGATTCAAGGGCCAGAAGTTGTTAAAGGGTAAAATGTTCTTGTTCCGGAAGCGAACCGAAATTCTTAATTTTTGTTCTGTTCCGAGGGCATAATTCCGCGGATCGGAACAAAATCGGGTATATGTGACACCTCTATTAATAAGAGTGCTTACTGAGGAGCAAATTAAGAATAAACATTTGAGAACATATAGAGGGTACACATTGTTATAGGTCTAAAATGTAAGAAAGCCATTAATAATATGCAAGCGTATTAGGGTTGAATTAGTAGCTTAAATGCAGAATCAGAGACAAAAACTTTACAAATGACCTTCAAATGTGCGGTTAACCATCTGCAATATAACTAAAAGCTAGACAAGAAATTAAAGTTGGAAAAAAATTTCTTAATTTTGAAAATTGTTGTACAAATCTCTGATTCTGACTTTAAAAGGTACACATTAATGCTGAAAATTAAAGGTTATACACCAAGAAAGAAAGGCACACACAAACAGGGTACTTACTAAAGCTTGTATAGCAGTTGCAAATAAGTCCCCTAGACCTTTAATCTCTTTCTGTGGTTTAGGTGGGTTACCCTGTACCGAAGCAAACATCCAAAAAACGTACAATATACAAACAGGGTGTCACATGATTTTTACAAACAATACAGAGGCATGCAGTGCTCTCCCACTGATTTCTCTGTGAACAATTTTTTGTGCGACCTTTAACGATTTTGTAATCTTGAATTTAAAAGTACATGAACATGAGAGTGCTTCATTTGAGAATTTTGAGTTTTTTGTACAATATTGTTTTGATTTGTGCATATTATGGAAATTTTTTCCCAAATGTGACTTATGACAAATTGATTATCTGTTGAATATAGACCACTGCACTGGAAGTGGAACCAATTCTAAAACTTTGAAAACTGAAAGGTGATTAATTATTATCCACATGGTCGATGTTCTTTTAAATCTTTTCAACATTAATGTACATGAATGATTTAGTAAACAAAATTGGGGATATTTGTTTGTTAAAATATTGCACTTTAAAGCATAAGGGGATGTTATTATTCCACCACCAGGTTTTACAATATCAATTAACAGAGGTGGTGCTTCTGTATATAGAAAGGTTAACATGCAACGTGCAAACGGCAATGGCTTTCAGAACTATTAACAAATGGCAATGTGGGTTTACTTGAATTATTAATATACTGACATATGGAAAACCAATCCCATGATGCAACATTCTTTACCCAGCATGCAGTGTTATTTATCAAGATGTAAGATTCCGGGTCAAAATATTGAATAATGTCGTCTGTGAAACTGAAAACTGGGAAAAAGACAGAGGCATTAAATTTGTCCCAGCTCTCAGTCTTCAAATGATGTTACCCAGTTAAATGATCTGTCCAAAAAGTCCCTTAACCTTTACGTGACTCCCAAACAAAGTCCTTGATGGGGCACATTTCTTCACGCATTAAACTAAAGTATGGAATAAAATGTCAACTTACCACAGGTACAATGTTGGTCATCGGTTCAATCTTTTCATAAATATACTTGGCCTGGAAGACAAGATTTGTCACATTTTAAAATCATGGACAGCAATATTTTCATTTCATTTGCACTCCTTTTCACTTATATCGTTAACTTCAGTGTTAACAAATATTCAGTTTTGATTTGAAATGGAGGGGCCAATAATTTTTGTTGTCAAGATACAATTTCAACTACTAAATGTTGCCTAGCAGCTTTAATTTATTACATTTGCTAGCAACTTACCAGACCAGTGGAATGTTTTATTTTATCAACAACCCCATCATGTCCCAAATTCTGAAGACAAAGCCAGAGCGATAGACTGGACAGCTTGATCCTGGGATTATAGGTTACCATGCCAGCTGAATGAGCCAATGTGGGGTCTTGAGACTTGTATAATGTCTACAGGTGTCAAGGAATATAGTGTTGATTTTCAATTTAATTTTACAACATGTACAATATGCTATGAGGACAGCAATGAGTGATTGTCAATACAATTAATATATGCAACATGAACAAGGTCAGGTCAAAGGTCATGTACAGGGTCAGAGGTCATGGTCAACAGATAAGTGATCAATACAGATCAATGTCCATATAAACGGATTAACACATGGTTCTTCATTTAATTTGAGAAGGAGGTCATAATCAAGAGGTCATGTGACCAATTCTCTCCAATTAACATAAGAAATGGCACATGGTTTTTCATTTGATACAAAGGAGGTCATGTGACCAATTATGGCCAATGGCAGTAAAGGATACAACACAAGGTACAGCAGGTAGTCCCAACCAGGAGCCAAGGTTGATGGTTATGCTATCCCCTGACTTGGCTGAGGCTACACTTGTTGGCACTGAGAATAGGCACAATGTGGCAAGATTGTTCCTGCAATTGAAAAATTGTTAAAATACAAAAAATGTGCAAGGAAAAGTTTAAAATCTAAACTCCTTGCTAACAAGTTTCAGGGAATCCCTACACAATAACATGTTTTCATCTCATATTTCAGATAAACGCATTTGGTAAATTTTACACATGTTGAATAAATGAATTGAATAATTGAAATTTCTTTCATACAAATATGACAAAAAAATATTTCCTCGAACAATACATCATGAATGTTTGCTGCTTGAAAGACTTATAAATATATATAAACATTCACCCACCCCTCTACATGAAGCCAGATCTCATTGTCTTTAGCTATTGACTGTAGTCTTCCTAGGTTGTCTACATGGCCAACCCCAGGGGTACCTACAAAAATAAGACAAAGTGACGAATACCGCACTTCAACAGCTATTTTTGGCTGTCATGTAAATAACCCAACACACTCAAAATTTTAATTTTCATTGGCTTTTGCAGTGTGTTTTGCATGTATCCCACAGCATTAAGAGAAGTATGAAAAACTGCATATCTCATAATAAAGACTCAAACAATGATATAAATGGCATCGACATGCAAAATGTTACTACCTGCCATTTGCTACAGATACCTGTTAAAGACACCAAAAGCCATTTGTTACAGATGCCTGTAACAAATGCAGGTTATAGATGCCAAATGGCACTTGTTACAGGCACTAACACCAACCACCGTCCACCAAAAAATGTAGACTATAACAATAGGTCACAACTTCTGGTGGTGACATAAAAATCTATTTTGGATTTGAAAATCCAACAATATTTTGTTAACTGGTGACCTACCTGCATATCCTAAAATTAAAACGGGTGTTTTTGCAGCAGAGACATCATCTTGTATTAACTTTTCTAAAGCTGCAATGTCCTGGATAATAAAAAAAATAAATATGCTTAATAAATGAAATACAGTCATCAGGTTTAATTACTACTTAAAATGTCTGCAAATGAAGGATGAGGGTTTTATCCTGAGTGAAACTTAGTAGAAAGTCAAAGAGGATTGCAGTTGTGGGAGATAGGCAGGGAATGCATATTGGTCATTATATATCAAAGAATTATTATTTAAGGTAACAACTACAGCTTTACTTTGTAGAAATATGCAATCAAAAAAGTTGTCTTGAAGTGGTGTTTCGATTTTTTTTTTTTGGGGGGGGGGTTCTTATCATTCCTTGTCATGACTTTATTTTCTAAATATCCTCGAGTTTAAACTTTATTTGAGGAAAATGTTTTTACATTTTTTATAATGCATTCATTTTTTGTAGTATTTATATTATATCTTTCATTTTACATTTTAAAGCAACCTTCAAACGTTCTTCCTTTCACACCATACATTCCTACCCATCCACACCCTCTCATCTTTCATACATCCCAGTCAGACACATGCATACTGTAAATGTCATGTTTCGATATGGGTGCGTCCATATTTAATATATTTGTCAATTAAACAAGCTACATCCTTACCATTTTGTGTCGAGATCCAAAGACAGTATTACATGGGACTGTGCATATACAAAAAAAGTTGCTGGAAGCCCAAGTGTTGTTTTGATATGGGTGCGTCCATATTTAATATATTTGTCAATTAAACAAGCTACATCCTTACCATTTTGTGTTGAGATCCAAAGACAGTATTACATAAGACTGTGCATATACAAGTTGCTGGAAGCCCAGGTGTTGTTTTGATATGGGTGCGTCCATATTTTATATATTTGTCAATTAAACAAGCTACATCCTTACCATTTTGTGTTGAGATCCAAAGACAGTATTACATAAGACTGTGCATATACAAGTTGCTGGAAGCCCAGGTGTTGTTTTGATATGGGTGCGTCCATATTTTATATATTTGTCAATTAAACAAGCTACATCCTTACCATTTTGTGTTGAGATCCAAAGACAGTATTACATGGGACTGTGCATATGCGAGTTGCTGGAAGCCCAAGTGTTGTTTTGATATGGGTGCGTCCATATTTTATATATTTGTCAATTAAACAAGCTACATCCTTACCATTTTGTGTTGAGATCCAAAGACAGTATTACATGGGACTGTGCATATGCGAGTTGCTGGAAGCCCAAGTGTTGTTTTGATATGGGTGCGTCCATATTTTATATATTTGTCAATTAAACAAGCTACATCCTTACCATTTTGTGTTGAGATCCAAAGACAGTATTACATGGGACTGTGCATATACAAGTTGCTGGAAGCCCAAGCTGAAACAGGAATCAAATACCTTACAATTAAAACATGTTGGAACTATTTACATATAAACTATGTGGGTCAAAAAGATGTCAAGATAAAAGTGTTAATTACTCATGTGTGTAGAGGGATTAATCAGGGAAAATGAAGTTTGTGATATTATTCCACAATGTTGCAATGGAAAAATATGGAAAATGTTATTGCACAAATACACAAGAAACATATCCAAGAATAACTCCTGATTATCAAATTTTCTGAGAAATAAATTTGCCTACCTGACTACATAAATACTGTGATAGCCCAGGTCGGGATGCAGAACTGATGTATATAACTGGAGGTCGGGAATATAGAGCTTCATACCCATCAGATGTATATTTCGGGAACTTTTTATGAATGGCGAGACGGCAAATTTTGGCTATTCCTTCCCGTTCTTCTTCATGAAAATAAGCAGAAGAATCCGGGAATCTGGAAATATTTTGAAAAATGCAATTGAATAATCTGAGATGCACATTGAATGAATATAACGTTCCAAATAACCTTATGATTAATGTATGATTGATGAATTGATTAGAATTTCAAAGGAAGTGGTCTGAAAATCTGGAATAAAAGCATTTCATGTATGTTTTTCATGTATGTTTTTTTACTCTTTCATTTCTCCCATTTTGGCACTTAATTATGTTTCCATTCTCAGTTATAATTAAAACTAGGATATTTTACGTGCTCTTTCAACCAGAAAAAAATTCAGGGCTATTCAGGGCTATTATTTTCCCATTTCTAGTTCATACATCTGCTTCATTTTATATGGTATATTAATGTACAAGTACTACAACTCAATTAAATAAATCAATAATTTACTTTTCACACAAGTGAATATAGCTACAAGTAGATTTCAGAAATTGATCATCTAATTGTGTTGGGACTTTAACTTACCTAAATAACCTAGAGGTCCATAATGTGGTATCAGATACTATTCTTGTGGTGAATTGTCGTAAATGGGCGGGGTCTAATGTTGATACGTAAGCTGCGACACTGTGTGCTAGAACTGCTACTTCGGAGTTGTCGTCTAATTTTTTCAGTTTAGCTGGACTGAAAGAAAATACAAAAGAGCAGATGAAATTTATTTTTTGGTTGTTTATTTGATCATGTGGCATTTTTTGCTTCTTCTTTACATGCTATTTTAAATTTAACCTTGCTTCAGCAAAATGTAAAAAGAGGTAATTTGGCTTCAACTGTATTGTGCAAATTGTTGAGTTAAATGGGATTCTGAAAAAGGTTTCAACAAGCATGTATACTTTGGGATGACTTTAAGGCAAAACAATATTAAAATATGCATTATCCAGACATTGTTTCATGTTTGTATTTTGTACATACGTGCAATATTCAATTACCCAAATGCCAATAGGTAGTTACCAGTTTCACCACCAAGTGGCTGATTCGGGTCAATTAACATGGCAGGTATATAAGAAAGTTCCCTTAAACTTGAATATTATCAATTTAAGTGGCTCGATTTTCATATAACCCTTATGTGTCTGATACTTATACTAATGAAAATATGTCCAGTAAAGCAAAATATTATCTGTCCACTAAAAGAAAAGATATTTCATTTTTTGTGATTTTATAGCATGGGGTCTATGGGGAATCTCCCCGAGCTAGAAGTCACATTTTCAAAGAAAATTATTTTTTCAAAGTTGATAAACACTTTTTAAAACCACATTTCTAGATGTAATTTTACATGTAGATTTCAAATATGATATTACTTTGAATTTTTAATTTTTAATGATGTAAATCAAGATTATTTCTACTCGCATCTGGGTTATTGATGAGGGACAAAATGTATCTTAATAGAAACAATATTTAATTTATGAACAAGTCCTTTAATTCAATTTTAAATGTCCATAAAACCGTATGCATACATTTGCCTTTATACATAGATAATATACTTCTTACTTTATATGTACATAATTATACATACATAAATGTACTTCTTACTTTATATGAACATAATTATACATACATCAATGTACTTCTTACTTTATATGAACATAATTATACATACATGAGTTTGCTCCTGTCTTGATCTTCTTCAGCTGTGTAGTTCTCATATAATATAAGATCTTGGACTTGCTGCATTATAATCTCCAACTTCTGACCACTGAAAATAGAGCAAAACATGTTGATAACTTGGTATTTATATGTCAAAATGCCATAACCTTGTTACCCTGAATTATACTAAAGAGAGCAAAAATATGTTGACAACTTGGAATTTTCAAACCAAAATGGCATCACATGATTGCACTCAATTTACATAGTGACATGTCAGCAACATTTTTAGTGTTACCTCGTTTGTTTCTTAGTATCCATTTAAGAGTCTTTGATAGAGCCTAGTTTGATTCTTGTCCTGTTTTTAGTCATAGTCCTTGTGTTTCATAAATTACTTGTTTTATTTGTCAGTTCAAATGACTTCTTTTTTAAACTTCCTTAACTGTTATCTATGTACAGCAGTTTCTTTTGTTTATATTTGACCTTGAATCTTTCAGTTGCCAAATAAACTTTGAAAAGGCAGTAAAGAGGATTTTATTCGTTCTTTTGGAGCTACAGCCTGGTGTAAGTTCACATAGAGTTTGTATGTTTAGAACAGATGCCTAGAAAGAACTGATCCACAGTACTAAATACATATGTATCTCAAGTCTTTATTGCTTATAAAAAGCTAGCATTAGAATAGCAAGTGTTCAGCTGATCCTATCTGTTTAAAGATGTCACAAGAGTTTGACGTGACATATGGGTTTGACGTGACATATGGGGTGATTTTCACTTGATGACTGTTCAGTTTAGTATGGCCTGCTCAGCTTGTTATAGAACAGGAAATCTTGTTATAGAACAGGAAATCGTCCTATCTGTATACTTTAACTGATGAATATAATGGGGTGTCCATAAAATGTCTACACTCTATACAAATTTTATATGAGAATTTGAAAGGGACTTTATGGACAACCTGTTTAATTATCATCACCACACATAAATTTTTTCAAACATTTTTCAAAATTGCTTTTTTCTTTTTTTTCCGGCTAATACTACACAGAGCAGTTTGATCAGTGTGGTTGGTATGTTTCAGATGCTAACTGTAACTGCTGATGGCACCTACCAGTTTTGATAGTGACATGAAAATGAGATTTGTAAAGAATTCAGGCCCGTAGCCAGGATTTGCCAAGGGGGGTTCAGTTTTTGAAAAATTCCAGGGGGGTTCACTGAAAATTTTGGTCCAAAAATGGCCAAAATCACTTAAAAATGACGAGAATGGTGAAAAGCAGGATTTTGAAAGAATTTTTGGCCAGGGGGGCTCGCTCAAAGCCATCAACCCCCCCCCCCCCCTGGCTACAGGCCTGGGATTAACCATGATCAACATGATCGCAAGCTTCTTATGTTGATATTATTAGTACTAAGATATTGAGGCTAATTGGAGTTCTCTGTTTTCAATTCCTCAAGCTGACAGAATGAAGATCAGTACATTAATAACTTTGATAAATGGACAATAATTCTTGTAATACTTCACCACTGGCAACACTTGTATTGTAATTGCAATACAAATGATTTTATCAATCTATAAAATAGTATCATCTATATACAAAATTGGGTTGTCTTGTAACAACATGGTAGATCTTATGGTAGGAGGATTTTTAATTTTCTTTAATTCTAATCAGTATGAGAAGCTCCTCTTTGCTGTTACAAGAGTAGTTTGTTCTTGTACCAACAGGGGGACCACTGATAATTAACAACCCAGAAATTCATCAGTCACAAAAATATTTGCACCCATATTCACTAAGTCATTTGGGGTTTCGATTTTCTCACTGTATGGACATCCAAACATTCCAGTTTGTTGCAGCTTTTTGCAGCTTGAATTACATTATGTGAACTACTCTCTGCTATCTTTATTCCATATTTAATGGGGTTAAGTGGGAGATAATTATAATTCCCTACTTGGGATTTTGCTGTTATGCAAAATATTTATCATGTTATCATGTCATGTTGAACTTTCTGTTGAAATGTCTTAGAATAGGAGAAAATTTATTTATGTACTGGAAGATTGTGGATATATCACTTATCCCTCTAAAATCCATATCTTGTCCAGTGTCTATAATTGGTTCAGGAGATATTAAATGTGCCCTCTGTATTACCCTTTTATCCCAAACCTACCAGGACATAACACTCAAATATACCCCTGTCATATAAGTTGTGGTGAAGTATGTTCAGTAAATAATAATAATTATACAAGGAATTGAGTGAAAACAAAGGCAAACTTTGTTCATTATATCTAAGATCTCAGAAACAATATACACGTTCGTAACATGATGTCCTTATTAGGATATGTATATCAAACATTATGGCTTAACATCACAATTACAACATTGATGAGTTGCAGCTAATAAACAAGCCACTTTTAGTAAATCAATAAAGTCTAAAATGACATTCTAAACATTTCCGTATTATATAGTATTCAGTATTTATCATTGTTAAATTCAGACTTTCAGTATTTATCATTGTTAAATTCAGACTTTCAGTATTTATCATTGTTAAATTCAGACAATGCAAGTATGCATCATCAATATAGTTTACGGCTGATAACATTATGTAGTTTTGTTGACATAGTCTATAAAATAGCAAGCATTTATAATTGTAGAACAAAAATCATGCCTTTTAACAATAATATTTCATGCAGTGCAAAATTTCAGAAAAGCACAAATCAAATTATTTTCAAAATTTCACAGCAACAATGAATATAGTTCCTGAAGATTTTAAGTGAAAAAATTGCCCAAAGAACCCTCCCTCTGTTAGCCATGCATTATACATGTTCATTACATCAGAAACACACGCCTGAACTTAGAAAGCATGCATGAGAGCTGTATTAAGAAAACCAAATTGTGCTACCAATTCAGGAATTCCCATTGGCTATTGTGGTCACATGACCCATTTTAGAATCAAATAATTTGATGGAAAGGAAATGAGCAATTTTTATGAAATTTAAATATAAGTGGTATTTTCCATCATGATATAAGCTGAAGGAAGGTACCGATGTAACATTATAGCATTTTGTCTAAAAAATAGGCCCTTGAAAATTTGAACAACTTTATCAGTATCATTGTATTCACTTACCTTCCTTTCAATGGTCCTGGGATATGTTCAGTTAGCTTCTCTTTGCGTCTTTGCTCCCGATCTTCTTCTATGCGGCTGCAAGTTAGTGAAAAACAACATTCAAAGTAAGCTCTATCTAGTACAACACTAACAAGTTAACCCTTCCATGGCCAAAAAATCACTTTGACTCCAGATTTTACCCATTAAATCAAACCAGGTAAAAATTTACCCATAAAGTAGCCAAATTTTTAGCATAAAGTAAAACTGCAAACCCATAATTAGTAACCTCAATATCATAAACTTTAAAAAGTAATATTTCCAAAATTTGAACACTACACTTAAGACAACTCGGTTGCTATATAAAAATAACAAGACAGCTCAGTTGCTATGTAAAAATACATTAAGTTTCTGCATAAAAATAAAGAAGGATTTTGAAATTAGATTACATGCTTTTAAAAGCCTTCTAACACTATTGTGAGTATAAAATACGTGAACTATGAGAATCAGAAAAATATCTAAAATTACATCTAAATAAGCATTATTGAGATGTGTATAAGTAAAATGCAGCTTGGAGTCTAAGAATACAAACATTTAAATACGCTTAGGATAATCCAAGCAGTGAATTAAATATATGAATTATATCTTATCCCTCCCTAAACCTACCCCATCAGCCATATTTAAAGAGACTCATTTTTCATTTTTTTAAACAGGAGAAACTTTAGTCAAAAAAATTCAAAATGTAACTATGCAATAATGTTGCACATACATGTAGAACTAATAATAACTCCATTATTTTTGAAAGGGTTAATTAAATTATTTCATCAATCCATTGGCCTTTAATCATTAAATTAGAAATAGCTCATTAGACTCACAGCTATTAAACACAAATTCCAATCATTTAAACCCAATTAAACGCATGGTCTTCAAAAGATTGCACGGGAAAAAATCAATTTTATTTAACCTGTGTACTTTTCATGTAAATAATTTAATGGTTAAAATAATCAATATTAAAAATCAATAAACAACAGTCTGTTCAATTTACCAGCTTGAAAACTATAGGAATTTTTATTTATTCCATAGTTAGCATGATATTCATAGGATAACATGTGAAAATAAAAACGGTATTTTTGTAATCAGTGGTGAAATATGATATTTTTGACAAATTTTCACTTAACCATAGCATACGGTTTTTTAGCCATGACATACGGCATCGTATGCGATGGTTTATGGATTTTTGCTACCTCAGACTCAAAACGAGGCTAAGTGTCAACATCTATGGATCGTTTGGAAAATTCGAATTAAATAACTTAATTTCCGACGATTCTGATGATGATTTTAACTATGGAATAAAAGAACATCCCATCATTTACTCGTGATATGATTTTAATCCACTCATGGATATTGATATTTGCACTCTCTCGCTATGCTCGCTCGTGCAGATATCATATCCATTCGTGGATAAAAATCATATCACTCATAAATCATAGGATATCCTCTATGTATCTTATTTCTACAAGTGTCTGTTCAGTGTTTACAATAACATGGTTGATCAATCAACATTTATTAGGAATTTTGATCAATTCTATATAATGCAGTTTGATTTTCCAGCTTAGCTAAAATCACGACAGTCCGATCCCGATTTAAATATGGCATCGGTGTAGTCAGGCTTCGAGGCAGGCGAGTCGGTTTTTTCAATTTTCGATTTAGAAGGTTTTTTATCAATTGAAACAACAAATGAAGTCTCATGATAGTGTTTTTTTTGCTTTTGACTCAAATTTTTTCTGAATGGTTGATTTTGTATTGAAATCAGGAGGAGAGATATGTGAAAATATGTCTGGTTTGGCTGGTAAGAGTTTCAAAATTACACTCAATGAACTGAGCAATTTTAGATTTAGAACTTAAAATTATTTTATTGGAACATGCTATTAATAAGAAAATAGTGTTCCGCAAACTTGAAAATCAATTTCTGTTGGAAAATGAGAAAAAATTGACTCATTTTGCCAAACTTTGGTAAGAATTGTAAAACTGAACATTTGCACATATTTGGAGAACAAATTCTAGGAAAATACTGGCTCCATCTATTGAGTATACTTACGTTGCAATTTCATCAAGTTTTTTGTTGTTTTCGTTGACTTTAGATTCTAAATCTGACAGCAAAGGGTTCATAAACATCTGAAAATTAGAATCAAAAATCAATGAATAAACAATTGCTTGATCTTTCATTTATTCCTACAAATAGGTCAAATTTATTCCTACAAATAGGTCAAATTTATTCCTACAAATAGGTCAAATCAATCAATATTTGGCTGGAAGCTGTAGCAAACAGATTCCAATTTAAGAATATACGAGTGGTTTGGAACTTGGTTTTCAAATAAAGCGGTAATTGACATATTAAGTCATGACCTTTGTTATATTGACAAAATGTTCATCCATGTAACTAGATGGGGAGCAGTGTCGTGTGCCCGAGGAAAACATTTTGCGAGAATTGTTGAAAGTTGAACAGGCATAATAACCTCAATGAAATAGTTCAAGCAATTTTTCTGTTTTTTCCTCATATATGATACCCCCAAAACGGTGGTAACCTAAATAGAATACAAAAATTAAGAAATTACATTTTGATACAGATTTTTGCAGAATTCATTTGCACTTTAGCAGTAGACGACAGGTGATTTTCTTCAGTTGTGTTTACCAATACTGCTGGTTTTATCATTGAATATGTTCATTTGGATATTAGCAAGCATTAGCGAATTTCAAAAGTTTGATATTAGTCAAGCAGATTAGCAGAATTTGAATGAAAATTATTTTTTGATGTGAGAAAATGATTCCTAGTTTAAATATGTATATTACTTTCAGATAATTTTGCCTGTTATTTCATATGTGTTTGTTACCTGTTGTTAGATATAGTAAAAATTTTTGAGGGTGGTATAAAGGCATTGGTCAATTAACATGTCAAATATTCCTCAATATATGTTTAATATCTCCCTCAAAAAATGATCATGAGTTCTGGGAGGTGTGAAACACTTGTTGATTTACATGTAAGCTTTTCTTCAATAATGTATTTTTAATATCTCCCTCAAAAAATCTCATGAGTTCCAGGACACCCTATAATATAGTGTAAACGTAATACTTCTAACTTACAAGATCCTTTAGTCCTGAATAACTCATATCATCTTGGAAGACTCAGAATATCAAGTAAAACAGAACTTAGGTTAATCCAATGTAAGTGAAACACTTAAACTGTGAGAGGCTCTGATTTATGAATATTATTTTAATCCAGCTGTTTTCTCGGCTGAGGTTAATAATTATGATGTGGCAATTCGTTGTTAGCTACTGGTTTGTTTAGCAATAGGTTGTAATAAAGGACATCATGCTCTACTGACTGTGTTTTAAATAATGACGTCTATGTTTTGGAATAGAGAATAGAGAAATTGGGATACAAAAGACAGAGGAATAATACAATAAATTGCTCAGGTTAACTTAAGTTAACACAAAAAGTGGAAAAATATTACGTTTGCTAAAAGATGAAAAAGAAAATATAAAATTATGATTTTGTAATTTTAAATAAGGGACCCCTTGAATGAGATTTCATAATGGTCATACTTTTCCATACTAACCAGGGTAAAAGAAATGGAAATAATAGAAATTACTAAATGTGGGAAGATTTTCTATGGGAAAATAATTGAAAATTACAGTATAATGTTAACATGGAGAGGAGAGGATTATTCGATAGTCAATTTTATGACAGTAAGGATTTTTTTCAATGTAACCTATCAACTGCAGCTGACTTAGAAGATTTGCAACACTGATATTACATGTGTTGCATTATTGGTGGAGTCTGTATATAAATCAATTTATTCAATAAATAGTCATGAAAATGCAAAAAAAGTACATGTCACACCTAACAAGCAGATCTATTGGGGACAATGATTCTAGCCTACTTTCTTAAGAGTCTCTCAAATTACATTGTTGTCAGATATTCTGAACCAGTGTCCGATGAAATGTTAAAAATAAGTTGGAAACAGGATTAATAACAGACTTATTTATTCAAAAATTATTTTCATAATTTCTTTCAATTTTGTTCAGCAAATCTATGTCTCATGTGTCAAAGAATTCAAACAACAACAAAATCCATGACGTTTTTCATCTTTTCTATAAATATTTTCTATTAAAAATGGATACTTACCAAAACCATGTAATGTACCATATGCAACTGTCAATTTACTGAATCAATGAGATTACCATGGCAACAAAAGACTTATACTTGACAGATTATTCCATCTATAATACTTCAGCCTGTAAAGTCTTTAATAATTATTTCCTTCCAACTTTCTTCTGATAAAGTATATGATGCAGCAATAATTCAATACATATTAACAGTGATTTTCCAGAGTTTTCAGTTCATTTAGTATGATCATTGTTGCCTGGGTAACAGCTGTTGTTGACATGAAGATTGAAACTCACCAGAGCTCACAGTGAAAGACAGAGACATCTTTTTATCAAAGAAATAATTCATTTGATGATTTATTTTGTATGTACACATACACCCAGGGCTCTCACCAGGAAATATTTAGGGTGTGGTGGAAATATCTTCAGCATTAACCATTCAATCATGTTATATTTTATTCTTTTAACATGCTCAATTTTGTGTATTTGGTCAAGTTAAGACAATTGGAACGATCATGATTTGCCAATAGATTCATTAGATTGTGGTGGGAGCTAAAAAGACTGTGGTGCTGCGCCACAGTCTAAAAGCCTATCCTTTAACTCCTTAAAGATCATATCGCTATAAAATCTGTAAATTCTCATGCTCAAATTTCAATACAAAATCCAATATAACTTGATAATGGTTCTAAGAATTGCGAAACTCCACCTTCAATTCATGAGATGAACATTGTCAACCACACGACGTTAATAGCATCTTTGAACTTTGGAAATCTTCTCTGAATTATCATGGGGGTAAAGCAGACATGATGATACTGTGAGCAATGGAAGAACGACTTGCTTTGAGCTAGACATACTGCAAAGCTCGCTACACTGAAGCCCTGTGATACAGCCATGATACAGCTAAGCAAGCTCATGGTATCAGCGTATCTGCTTTACCCCTGCATTTATGCCCAGTTACATCTTCCTATCTAATCAATTTATAGTCTAGTTCATGGATTAAAGAAAACATGAGTCAACTTCAAGTCTTCAACCAACTACGGCAAATACGATTTCTAATGAATCTTCAAGATATGCTGAAAATTTTGGTAAAGTCAAGATAAGAATCCAATAAGATGTTTGACCAAATAATTAAGCAAATCAAATTACCTCATTGTGTCACTTTGGCAATGCTCAGTAATTAATTTGAAAAAGTTGCACGATCTCAAAAAGTGAATGCGACCTCTGCAAAAAGCAAGGATAGTCACAATGTTTGCGCCTTATAATATCGTTCATGAAGGTAAGATTTAGTTACGAAAAATTTAATACTGCCAGTCTGCCGGCGTCAAGTGTTTGTGTTGTTGAAAACAATCTATTTGTTATCCCGTGCCAGGAGTATAGTCCTGAGAACGTCTCAATCTTTTGCCTGTACAATTACAACATGGGAGAATTTTTTATGCCTCTTAAACTTAAGATACCTACTTCAATAGATTCCTGGGTATTTTAGCATTCTTTTCGTGTAGTTGAATCCACAATTATCTGGGTTTATCAGCAGAACGGGAACATTTTTCTTTTTCATCGAGAGAGATTCCATCACTTCTCAAGATGGCGGTTAGATTCCCCGTTTGCTGGCCCGAAAGTACCAATAAATGGAGAAATTTGACGTTTGAAATAAGTTAAATATTACACCCAAATATTGCGATCAAAAACAAAAATTTCTTCATTATGCCGATAAACCCAGATAATTGTAAATTCAACTAAACGAAAACAATGCCAAAATACCAAGAAATCTATTAAAGTAGATATCTTCTAGTGTAAGAGGCGTAGAAAATTCTCTCATGTTGTAATTGTACAGGCAATCAAGACGTTCTCAGGACTATAGTCCTGGCACAGGATAATGTATTTGCTGCTCCTTGTTGATCCATTCTCCATCAATAGAGAAAGTGGGTGTGGCATTGATATCAGGAATCCATTTCAATAGAATGAAATATTTGTATGTATACTAAACATATGTCTACTAAACATAAGCTACGTGGCTTCAAACTTGGACAACATAGTACTGGTGATTATTAACCTACTGAGTATGACTCATCAGACAAATTCTAAAGCAAGCTTGTAGGCTAGTCAAAGTCAAAACTGGCAATAGCCATCTTCATCACCATCAGGTTACAGCATACATCAGCAGGTAACGAATTTTGATGACCACTTCCCTTTCACGATCATACATACACATTTGGCTCCCGTATCTAATATTTTTGAAGAATTATACCTCAGAAAAAGTTCAAAACATCGAAAATAAAAAAGTTCAAAAATTTTAAAAAATTGTTTACCTTTTGAAGTCCACTTCCGGGTACTGCACGGCTCGCTTGCTTTGGTTGTGATACTGGTTCGGGTGAAGCTTCTTTCCTGGGTACTTTATCATCCTGTTTATCAACAACTGCATCACCAGAGCCTTCTCCAGTCGTAGATTCAGAACTTTTTTCGAGGAGAGGTTGATTCTGGGATTCCGCCATCTTTACACGCTGGCAACTTTTACGACATAACACTACAGTGATCTTATATTTTTCGTGAAAAAAAATCTGAATACAAACGTTAACAGGATATTGTGCTCAGAAATATTAATATGTTTTGTTCATGTAGGTATCGTGTTTATTTTATACCAACTAGACAATGTTAATCAAGAAATGATGTCGTGATTCAAACACTGCACGAAAATAAGGGGTATTAACGGTGCTTAATAGTTCCCGGGAACATCACCGATCATCACCTATAAAAGATGGAAGGACGGGTTGGATTCAAGTGCAAGAATTTTCAAAATGTTCACACAATATTCGTTTCACTGAAAAGCTGCTAATCCGCATTATTCACAGAATGAATCAGCACATGCAATGACAATGTGACCCAGGCCCATAGCCAGGGGGGCGATGGGTTCGACCCCCGGCCCTGGCCAAAAATCTTTCAAAATCGTGCAGTTTTTCACCATTCTAAGCACTTATTAAGTGATTTTGGTCATTTATGGACCAAAATTGTCACAAGTGAACCCCCCCTGGAATTTTTCAAAAAGTGAACCCCCTTGGCAAATCCTGGCTACGGGTCTGATGCCATGTTGTCCGATCGCGCACGAAATTCATCGGAAGTCTTTTTATGGGCTACGAAATAAACACCCAGAAACAACTTGTATCTAGTACTTGTCAATGTAGTATCAGTTTGGATTATTATTTCAACACTTCATCTATTCTTAGAATATGAAATTACTTGAAAAAATACCATCATGTGGGTTTTAGCCTTGCTTCAAGCCCGGGGGGTTCACTGTGTAAAAAATTTGGCGGGGTCCTAGGCTGAACCCTCAGATATCAATATAATTCCCATACCAATGCCATGCCAATGCTATGGTCCAAAGTAGAAAATTAAAGTTAAAGTAGAAAAGCTAATTATTTAAACTGAAGAAGGTCCCAAGAACAGTGGCGTAGGAACAATGTACGCCAAAACGCCAGTGCGTAGCTTAGTGTTGAAAAGTGAGAATAAAAAATACTTTTTAACTTTCCTATGTTCTTTAGTCATATTTTCTCATTGTATTGTGCAAAAGTAATCTCGAGCACACTAGCCTAAAGAAATGTTTTGTGGATACCATATCATTATTGGTCTGTCTGGCAAATATCATTTAACAGATTGAATTCCCTTACCAACATGCTTTATTTCATGAAAATCGAGCCACTATTGACTGTCTTATAAATACAATTTCGCCAAATATTCGTGAATCGCGTTCTCTTCACGAATTTGAGAGGAAACTGTTTTTTTTTCAAAAACTACTTGATGAATACCTTTGACATTTTTTCTGCATTTTCCGTAATGCTTATGCTAACTATGGTATCATATAATTATAATGATGAACCTCTTAAAATTTAGATGTATATTTTTTTATTCTTCCCTACCCCAATTTTTCAATTTCACTATCGATTAATATTCCGTTACTATGCAAAATCATAGACACGAAATTATAGTTAAGAGTAGTTACAGAAACGAGAGTTCTGACGCACCTTTAACATTGAGTCCTATGGGGAGGGACACGATTTTTCATAGTACCCTCCCTAACATGGGCTCCAATGGGGAGGGACATCTGTGAGCCTCCCTGAGCTCGGGAGGCACATACGGGGACCCCACCCCTCCCCCCTCGGCGTGGTGGCGTGTACATATTTCGGGAATCTCGGGCCCTAAGAGTAACGGACGCCCTACCCCACGACTATACGTTCCGGAAGTTAGCCATTTTGACAGGAAGTCAGCCATTTTGACCGGAAGTCAGCCATTTAACCGGAAGTCGGCCATTTTGAAGCTTTCTAGCAGGAAGTCAGCCATTTTGCATCTGTCTGGGCAAGAGGGTGACATCATAGCGGAAGTGAGGCATCTTTTAGTCGGCCTGGGTAGGTTTTAAAACGGAAGTTAGCCATCTTTTCCCTACCTCCTCCCACTTCCTCCTTACCTCCTCCTTACCTCCCCCCGCCTCCTCCCTACCTCATCATTACCTCCTCCCTATATCCTCCTTACCTCTTCCCACCTCTTCCTTACCTTCTCCCACCTCCTCTCTACCTCCTCCCGCTTCCTCCTTACCTCCTCCCACCTCCTCCCTACCTCATCATTACCTCCTCCTTACCTCCTCAAACCTCTTCCTTACCTCCTCCCACCTCCTCCCTACCTCCTCCTTACCTCATACCTCCTCCTACTTCCACCCAACCTCCTCCTGTCTCTTCTCCATCTTCCAAACCTCCTCCCCTCCCTTTACTTTAATATTCAATAGTTTATAATGTCATAAATGCCTGTTTATGTTTACAATTGATCTTAATTGACACATTTTGAACCAATCACAATACTGCACATTAGAATATTCTTATATATTTTAAGTTGTCCATGTTTTGAGTCATTTTACTGATAGATCTTGAACAGACAACATGTCTTTCAATTGTTCTGAGTGTAGTGTGAATTTTACGAGAGGTGATAACCTATCAAGGCATATGAATAAGTTTCATGGAGAAAAAATGCATCAGTCTGATGTTATGCTGAAACATCCGTTTACTATGATAGCAGGTATAGGCATGGACATGTTGAAATTAAAAGTCTGATAGGTTTCTAAATATAGAAAGAGAGCATGTCAATTTATTAAAAAAAAAATTTTTTGTTGTATTTTCAGCCGGACCAACATCGTCGGGGAAGACCTGGCTTATGAAGCACTTGATCAAAAATGTTGAACGGTATATATCCCCAATTCCTAGAAGAATCATCTGGTGTTATGGTCAATGGCAGCCTGCCTACGAAGAGCTAAGAAAATACCCACATTTGGAATTTGTGAAGGGAATACCAGAGGATATTGATGATTCAAGATACCTTGACACTTCAGTTCCTACTTTGATACTTCTCGATGATCTTATGAATGAGGCAACAAATGATCAACGGATATGTGATCTCTATAGCAAAGGCAGTCACCATCGAAATCTGTCTGTGATATGCCTACTCCAGAATATGTATCATCAAGGAAAAATGAATAGATCGATGAGCTTAAACTCTCACTATATGATACTGTTTAATAACCCGAGAGATCGCCAACAGGTGGCATTCTTATCGAGGCAGATGTACCCCGGAAATGGAAACAAGTTGGTCAGAGCATATACCAACGCAACTAGTCGACCCTATGGTTACCTGCTTCTTGATCTGAAGCAAGAAACTTCGGAGCACAGCAGATTGAAACCAAATGCCTTTACTAAAAGTGAAGTTGAATTTGAAAGTCATCACGATTCCCGCAACTTCAAGGAACCAATGAATGATTCAAAACACTTACTTGAAAGACAGGGTATTTCAGAAGTTGACTATCCGACGACAACATTTATAAATAGTAGTGATGTTAAGAACTACCCTTACATGGAACGTGAATTTCGAGAAGACAGCATGGTATCCTGTGATGACTGTGGTTTAGTATTTGATAGCATTCACGACTTACAGAGGCATATAAAAAAGTGGTGTCAAGATCAGGGACCACTACCCAAGAGGATGAGGACCCAATCTACCCAAAATATTGAGGAGAAGATTCCTCAAGACAAAGACAATGACGTTGATGACGATGATGGTGATTTGAAAGCAAATGAAACATTTGCATTCTTAAAGAAGTGGTCTATAAGACAGAATGAGGAAGACCACCGACGTAAAGTGGATGAGTATATGGATAGAGGGATGGATAAGACAGAGGCTGTAGAAAAGGCAGATAATAAACTATTGTCAAAGAATAAGGAAGAATTTATGAAAGGATATAAACAATTCGTCAAGCTAACGGTTGATGTAAAAGACAATGCGTTACACAGAAATATAATTGATTCAATAAATAATATGATGAGGAGGGGTGTCTCTGTGAACTTAGCCATTAGGAAGACACTTTTAAAAAACAAACACAAGTTTGATGAGGTCTTTATAGAGGATACAGACCAGGAAAGTAGCTCCGAGGAAGAACAGAGTGAATCCGAAAACGAGGCTGTTGAATCAAGCACTGAGTGATAAATATTAGCAATTTAAAGAGAGATCGTCATTAAGGAGTCAGATTCCGACAGTGTAAGATGGCATATCAAGACTATTTAAAGAAATTATACTTTGACAGTCGAAATTCTGGAGCCTTTGCTGGACCAGACAAACTCTATAGAGCTGTACTAAATGATGGGAAATACCAGCTGTCCCGTTATCAGATAAAGAAATGGCTGGACAATCAAGAAGCTTATGGCCTACAGAGACCTTATAAGAAACGATTCGCTCGTAACAAAGTATATGTCTCGCATATTGACGAACAATGGGATGCAGATCTTATGGATGTCTCTAATATATCATCGCAGAATGACGGGATAAAGTATATCCTGGTTGCGATTGACATTATGTCTCGCTTTGCCTGGGTTAGACCGCTACACTCCAAAACTGGAAAGGCAGTGGCGGAGGCTTTCGATGATATATTGAAAGAAGGTCGACAACCAGATGTCACTAGGACGGACAAAGGTCAAGAATTCCGCGCTAAGGTTGTACAAACATTGTTGAATAGATGGGGAGTCCGCCATTTTGTTACGGGTAATACCCCCAAGGCCAACTATGCAGAAAGATTGATAAAGACGTTAAAGACTAAAATAATGAGGTATATCACGTACAAACAGAACCATAGATTTATAGACAATTTACAAAACTTTGTGAAGAGTTATAACGCCACTTGGCATAGGGGTATAAAAATGGCTCCTAAAAATGTATCTAAAGACGATGAATTGGTTATTTGGTGGCGGATGTATTATCCTAAATCAACTATCGTTAAAACCAAATCTAATCACATCTTTAAATTCCCCATTGGAGCTCTGGTAAGAATTACCCAGTCGAGACATGTTTTTAGTAGAGAATACGACCAACATTGGACAGGGGAAATTTTTAAAGTAACGAAACGTTTTATTAGGCAGGGCCTCCCATTATATCGTTTAAATGATTTTCAAAATGAAGACATTAAGGGTACTTTTTACCAAT